TAGAAAAGGATATCACCTCCCCCTGTAAAGCAGTGTGGGCCTGTTTGCTTTAAGTTTGCAGCGAGACTGCAATTTAGTGTGCAAAATTCTGCATCTAGGCCAAACCTAGAGACCTGACTTGCAACAACTTATCAGCAAGCCTCGCCATACAGGGGCAAATATTCGCAACAAAATCCCCCCCCCTGAAACAATATATCCCCAAAACATTTGATAATTCTTATCCATTTCTTAATCAAAAAAATTTGGGGTTTTTTTGGGTGGGGGATTTTTTTATTTAACACCCCTGACGCATTTATCAGATTTATTGCAAACTTAATCTGCAAAAAGGATTTAAACCAAACATTTATGATAATATTTAATTGAGCACACTTTATAAATACATTAGCTCTTAATAGATACTTTACACACTGCTAAATATTCAATTCGTTATACTTGAAGTTGGAAACTGTATATATTTCACTTAAATGGATACTTTCAGTAAATGTATACTTTTAAATGCATAAACACTTTAATGGGTACTGTATACAATTACACTTTAATGGGTACTGTATACAATTAACCTTTGATTGATACTGTATATAATTACACTCTAATGGATACTGTATGCAATTACATTTTTATGGATGCTGTATACAATTACATTTTAATAGAAACTGTATACAATTACACTTTCATGGATAATGTATTCAATTACACTTTAGTAGATACTGAATACAATTACACTTTAATTGATACTGTATACAATTACACTTTAGTAAATACAGTATACATTTACACTTTAATTGATACTGTATACAATTACACTTTAGTAGATACTGAATACGATTACACTTTAATGGATAATGTATTCAATTACACTTTAGTAGATACTGAATACGATTACACTTTAATGGATACTGTATTCATTTACACTTTAGTAAATACTGTATACAATTACACTTTAATTGATACTGTATACAATTACACTTTAGTAGATACTGAATACGATTACACTTTAATTGATACTGTATTCAATTACACTTTAGTAAATACTGTATACAATTACACTTTAATTGATACTGTATACAATTACACTTTAGTAGATACTGAATACAATTACACTTTAATTTATACTGTATTCAATTACACTTTAGTAAATACTGTATACAATTACACTTTAATTGATACTGTATACAATTACACTTTAGTAGATACTGAATACGATTACACTTTAATTGATACTGTATACAATTACACTTTAGTAGATACTGAATACGATTACACGATACTGTATACAATTACACTTTAGTAGATACTGAATACGATTACACTTTAGTAAATACTGTATACAATTACACTTTAATTGATACTGCATACAATTACACTGTAGTAGATACTGAATACGATTACATTTTAATGGATAATGTATTCAATTACACTTTAGTAGATACTATATACAATTACACTTTAATGGATACTATATACAATTACACTTTAATGGATACTGTATACAATTACACTTTAGTAGATACTGAATATAATTAAACTTTAATTGATACTGTATACAATTACACTTTAATTGATACTGTATACAATTACACTTTAATGGATACTGTATACAATTACACTTTAGTAGATACTGAATACGATTACACTTTAATGGATAATGTATACAATTACACTTTAATGGATACTGAATACGATTACACTTTAATGGATAATGTATTCAATTACACTTTAGTAGATACTGAATACAATTACACTTTAATGGATACTGTATACAATTACACTTTATATAGATACTGAATACAATTACACTTTAATTGATACTACTGCATACAATTACACTATAATGGATACTGTATACAATTACACTTGAACAGATAGTTTTCCATTAAACATTGTCAGATACTTTACCACTACCACTTGAAAAAAATGTATCGAGAAAAATACAAAAAAAAAATGTTTCTACTGAACACCATTTTTAATCATGGTTATATATAAAAATTAATATAAAATAATAAAATAAAACCATGACAAAGACCTAGAGGTTCACTGAAGCGGTATATGATAAACAACACCTCCTACAATCTACCCTATATAAAGACACTTTATCATCAGTGGCCATGTTTATTTCTTATTACAGCTTGATGCTCTTGTTTCCTATTTATTCTGTGACAATACAAACTTTTACATAATAGCAACACTCTTACAACAGAAAAGAATTGAAAATTCGCAACAAACTCTGAGTTTCTAACCCGTAAATTTTTGCAACCTGATGGTATAGAACTTCATGTTGCAAAGATAAAATAAGAACATTCGAATATGTGGCGAATGTTTAGTTTCTCATAGGAGCTTGGACTTTCGTTAATAAGGACTTCTCTATCCTATTATTTAGGTTTCCTGGTATAGGTTGGAGCAGTTGCAGACTTTTCTGTAGTTCGGAGTAAGATTGAACCCGATCAATCTTATAACATGAAACATAGGCCTGGGCAATGGGCAGCAGGGATCCAAGTATCCTCGTATTTAGGCAATATTTTAGAGGAGAGAAAGTGTAATAAGGACGTAGAGAGAGGGAAGGACGGAGAGGGAGGGAAGGACGGAGAAGAAGGGATAAACGGAGAAGAAGGGAGGGAAGGAGAGAGAGAGGGAACCACGGGGAGAGAAGGAGGGACTGAGAAGAAGGGAAGGACAAAGAGAGAGGGAAGGACGGAGAGAGAGGGAAGGACGGAGAGAGAGGGAAGGACGGAGAGATTTTGTTGTGTAAGAAAGAAAAGAATAAAAGAGCCACTGAAAATACAAAATACAAATTCATCAATAAAAGGTGTGTTTGCATTTATATACATAAATAATATATTAGCATACACAGGGGGAGGGAAACGAATATTTTTGCACTTTTAATATATTCAGCTCAAATTATTATCAATTTATAACCTGGCCAACTTGAATGAATAGGGGTGTGGTGGTTTTAAAGTCTAAATCGGGATATCTTGTTTTTAACGACGAATTAAGATTTGATCATAGTCATCATAGATTAAACAGTTTAATCTAAGTGTTGGTGACGATTCATTTCCATATCATACAAACTCAGTCTAAATAAGATTGAATTACTAGACAGTCTCTAAATAGACTGATGATATATACTAGGCAATCTCTATATAGACAGAAGTAATAAAAAACAACAACATGCTATTAGACAACGTTATACAAAAATAGACAAGTAGACAGTGTTTATTCCAGACAGTTCGACAGTTGCAAACAGAATTAATATGACTCGACAGGTTCTTTGTGTTCATAAGTTGGTGTAAAAACAAGTTGAAAATATGAATAATGACATATTAGCAATAACAGAAAACCTTGAAGCTTAAAGTTCAGTTATCAAATTTCTTAACTTTAACTAACAAAATTATATGAGATTATACTGGGCCTGAGAGTATAATAAAAATTAGTACAATAGTACTTAAAAGATTTCATCAATGAAAACGGTCAGACTATTTCAAATCGCTTTTACAATTGTAAACAACAAATTTTCGTGTTAAAAGTCATTTAATCAACGGTGTAGTATTCATTCTTCTGTGGACTGTGCGTAGGTGTGACGTCATAGCTCCATACACTAGTTTATACTTAGAGATTTAACTGTAAATATACAAATATAATGTAGAGACAACTTATATCATTCGAGTAAAAATAGAATTGAAAACCATTAGGAGTTAGTTTTAGGAGAACTAGTTGAGTAAGAGAACTAGTGGAGTAGGAGAACTATAAGTTGAGTACTAGAGTACTAGAGAACTAGAGAGCTAGAGAAGTAGGAGAAGTAGGGGAGTAGGAGAACTAGTTGAGTACTAAAGAACTAGAGAACTAGAGAAGTAGGAGAAGTAGGGGAGTAGGAGAACTAGTTGAGTAGGAGAACTAGTGGAGAAGGAGAACTAGTGAAGTAGGAGAACTAGTGAAGTAGGAGAACTAGCGGAGTAGAACTAGTTGAGTAGGAGAACTAGAGGAGTAGGAGAACTAGTGGAGTAGGAGAACTAGGGGAGTAGGAGAACTAGTGGAGTAGGAGAACTAATGGAGTAGAACTAGTTGAGTAAGAGAACTAGTGGAGTAGGAGAACTACAAGAGTGGGAGAACTACAGGAGTAGGAGAACTAGTGGAGTAGTAGAACTAGGAGAACTAGGGAAGTAGGAGAACTAGGGAAGTAGAACTAGAGGAGTAGTAGAACTAGGAGAACTAGTGGAGTAGGAGAACTAGTGGAGTATGAGACTAGAGGAGTAGGAGAACTAGTGGAGTAGGAGAACTAGTGGAGTAGGAGAACTAGTGGAGTAGTAGAACTAGGAGAACTAGGGAAGTAGGAGTAGGAGAACTAGGGAAGTAGGAGAGCTAGAGGAGTAGTAGAACTAGAGGAGTAGGAAAACTAGTGGAGTAGGAGAACTAGAGGAGTAGGAAAACTAGTGGAGTAGGAGAACTAGGGGAGTAAGGATTGACTGAATCAGACCGGATCAGCATGACGGATTGAAAAGATACTCCTGATATACTAATGAGTAGGATTAAATACAAGATAGATGAATACAAAATAAAGATAATATTGAACCTACCGACATGTTTACTGTCACAATATCAGCCTTAACATCATGTTGGCAGACTGTTCCCTCGACCTCCCTCCCTCCGTGGGTTAGATACACCCTCTGACCAGACAACAGAGTTCCAACCGCTGATACTCCGGAGAATCCAGGTCCTATCAGTTCACTTTCTCCGAACTCACTCACTTTTCTACTATTATCAAATCTGACCAAGTATCTGTTTTCACTGACGTAACTATCACCGTAAGTTTTTGCCGATTGTATAATGGCCGGATAGAATCGACCGTCGATTCCAGGAGCAACAACACGAGTTCCCAGGATTGATCGCTTGGCGATCCTTTTTCCCGTTGACATTTTTACAGCTGTTTATGTGTCTTTAGTTTTGTAAAAGTAGTAGATTTCAGTCATGTAAAATGTCTCAGTTTTCGAACAGAATTCCATTTTGTTTCACTAAGTTTAAAGTCTGAATATTTGTAAGTATTATTATAAATTACAGGAGACGTCTAGAGGCTCATTCAACCCTAATTAGAGCTTTAAGTTCAAGACAAATAGAGACGAGCTCCTTCCTATAGTTCGAGTACCAACAAACTGACCGAGACTTGTCAAACTCCGGCCGGTATGTCACGTGACAGCCCGGGCTCCCGGCACCTTATCTGACAGTTCGTACTTTGCCAACTTATCCATAAACTACTTATCTGTAAAAAGACCTTTTTAAACCTAGTTCAGAGGTGTTTACTGTTTGACAGTTCTTTTGGTGAGCTATGTTTTAAAAAAGAAAAATGTTTCTCAAGGCCGACATCAAGACCAGGCAGCCATAGCTGAAAAGCTGCCTTAAAAACAATATTTGATCACGTGAACACATTCTGTCCTCCTATTAGTCCGATATTGACGGTGAATTTTCTGATTGGCCAGATGGCTGTGACGTCAGTCGACCCAGATACCGGATTGAGAGGCAGGACTGCCTGACAGTTGGAGCAGCTATGACAGAGGAACAGCTGCTGGATACGTGAAGCTGTGGCCTGCAGCTGTTTTAACCTTGAAAGAACCAGGTCCGGGTCCAACTATAAACAACTGTAGATGAGGATGGTGTAGCCGGAGCACGATCCAGGCCTATCTCGTAACAGGTGATTTAATCCTGATGTCAAAACCATTTGGCCTTGGAAACCATGCCTAGCTAGGCCTGGCACCGGCAACGCTTTAAAGGGTCTTTAAAATCAGATGTTTTAGCTGCGCTCAGTTGGTTTCCCTTACTAATGTAGACATCTATAAATTTTTCAAATCTATGTTATTTATCATTTAATCTATACTAAGTATCCAAACATCTATACAGAGTATCCAAACATCTATACTAAGTATCCAAACATCTATACTAAGTATCCAAACATCTATCAAATATGTCGATTAAATTCTTAATCTCGAAAAGAACGGTTTATAATCAAGGTTATGAGGTGTCACACTCACGCGCTGTATATAAAAGCTGAGCTGTGAACTTTTATATTTTGGATATCGAGATCAAAGCTTGATCTTTTGTTAATCTAATTTAATCTTGATTCTATATCCCGCATTGTATGGCACCCAGTCAGAAAGGTAACTTTTATAAGGGGAGGATTAACTAAAATAAAGATACGGAAAGGTGTAGTTTTTCTATCAAATTAAAAGTGTCCACAGTGGATATCGAAATCAAGAGATCGGGAGTATGAATACTTAAAACAAAATTTTCCAGCTCAGGTGTCAATTAATATTCTAAACAGGGTTACCCATGTAGAATAAGACATCAGGGACGATTGTACAGAATTTATTCAGTCTTTTCTCTTAAAGTCTTAAATATCCATGTAGTTTAGTAAAATGAAAAGTTGTGCATATACGGGAACAAAATCTACAAAATCTACGAACCAAAATACGGGTAATGATTAATTGATTGTCATAGAGACGTCGTCTTTGTATACACATTTTACATGTTTTAATGCAAAAAACGTAAATTTCTTGCTAACTCAAATATCAAAAGTTTTCATATTTTAGTACATAATCAAACACATAATGAAATTAAAATATAATAAATTTAAATGTTATTGGGCTGCTGTTACTAAAAAAACTTAATATAGTGTCCATAGAGAGGGACCGTCGCTTTCCGCTCAAATTCTGAACGAAAAATCGGCTTTTTTCCGACCACAGTTGTCTTTGAAAAGTAAGACTATTACCAATCAAGAGCGAATAGGCTGTTTAGTTTATCCTGAAATTACCCAAATAAGTGAACGGTCCCTTTAAACAAATTTTCATAACTTTCAAATTCAATTTTAATTAATTAATTAAATCAAATTTAAACAGAAAAATAAATACTTACTGAATTATTTACCAAGTACTAACAAATTCCCCTATCCCGTTTTTGGATATTTTTAAAATATAAATGATTTAAGTTTCTATTGGCAGTGATTCAACATTTATACCTGCAGATCTATTTTCCGATTAAGAATATTTGAATTGATATGAACAATTCATTATGAAACGACACAATCGATATCTTCGAGCGAAGAAAGCCATGAAATTACCATGAAATTAAACTAAGGAAAAATTTCCTCTTTCTTCTCATATTTCTTTAATTATAACTCTTTAATTATCTGCAAGAACCCGTGGTCAAACTTTGTTTTCATATAGGTTTAATTTTCAGTTTTTAAAGAAAACCAGACGAATAATTGTCGTCTTTGTTGTTCCTTTTATGCCATAAAATATAAAATATTGCGAACTGTTGACATAGATTTATTTCTAATAATGGAGTGAAACTAGTAACAAGATACAAAGTCGAAGACGACAATTTTTCCCCTTTTTTCTTTCTGTTTTTTAAATGATATCACGTACTAGTGAATCAAGCATTCCAGATACGTGGGGGAAACTTTTTAAACTCAGATGTTTTAGCTGCGCTCAGTTGGTTTCCCTTCCTCTAGCTCAGTTGGTTTCCCTTCCTCTAGCTCTGATGGTTTCCCTTCCTCTAGCTCTGATGGTTTCCCTTCCTCTAGCTCTGATGGTTTCCCTTCCTCTAGCTCTGATGGTTTAGTTCAAGTATTCAGCGTTAGCCCCCTCTTTTGAACTCATTTTCCAGTTGGCAACTTAATACAATTTATCTAAGGAACTTAGTTATTGCCACAAACTCTGATTTTCTAATCCCTATATCTTTACAACCCGATATGGTTTTGATATTCAAATTCTGTTTTATCAAATCGAAATAGTTGGAGTTAGAATTATCAAAGGTTAACACATTCAGGTTGCAAATTATAGTGGTTAGAAAATTTGAGTTTGTTGCACGAATTTTATTCCTTTTCCATCTATAAATGGAGCGACAATTAATCTTTCAATTTCATGTTTACCCTGTAGTTCTTGAGTTGAGTCGATGATGGGAAGCGCTTTCCAAAAAGAAATTGAGCAATTGCCACAAACTTTGATTTTATAATCTCTATATCTTTGCAACCAAATGTCGTAGACCTTTTTATTTTCACACTATGAATTCTGTTAGATAAAATAATTGAAATATCAAACGTTTACACCATCAGCTTGCAAAGATATAGGGATTATAAAATTACAGCTTGTGGCAAAAACTCAGTTTCTTTAGTCTCTACTCAGCGTTTGTTGATAGATTTTAAAACCATCTTTATCTTTAAACTATAGAAAAGTAAAAATGGTTCAAATCTTCTCTGGCTGGGTGTTGTCACACCTTGTTTCCTAAAATTGAAAAGAACTGGAGGCAATTCATGGAATTCATCAGTCCTTACCAATCATTAAACTTTTATTTATACAAATAGTAATTCAGGGTGCTCGGCGAGCCTTTTTCGAGTTGAAAATTATTTATAAAAATACATACAGGGTGTCCCACAAGACTGTAGAAGAGAAAGACGACTGTTAGACTCCAGTTAAGACTTTAAAAAGTCTATCGAACAAAAAACACATCGTGTGCAAAGACTAAAACTAATTGCTTTTTAACAACATTAAATAAACATAAAATTTCCTAAATGTCATATTCCTATTCCACAGTTGCAAGGGTCCCGCTGTATGCAGCATAGATATTTTAGATATTTCCTAAAAATTTTCCGCATGTTGTAGACCTGGAACAAAGATGGGATGGATCAGGTTTAAGATTAATAGTCGTGGGAACTGAATAGTGAATAGGGATCGTTCCATGAGATGTCACTATACTATACATGATAATAGAAATACACTAATTCACATAAAAACATAAAGACACCTAAAACCTATATCTGGAAGAGGGGGGGGGGTCCGGGGGGATCCCCCCATGTATTTTTTTGCTTAACTCAAAAAGTACTGCTCTCATACTGTTCTATAATTTCTGATTTTTTTCTTTAAAAAATAAACCCTCGATTAAGGCATAAACAAGCTCAATTCCTTTTTTATTCCAAACTAAATCTGTATTTAGACCCGCTTCCGGCTGTTGGAATTTTTCAAAAGGTTTTTGAGAACTATACACAAATAAACTTAGTTTTTGCCACAAACTTTAGTTTTTAACCCTTATCCTTGCAACTTGTTGTCGTAGACCTTTGATATTTCAAACTACAAAATCTGTAAGATAATATGACCTAATTTAAGATATCAAAGGTTTACATCGAAAAGATAAATGGAATAGAAAGTTTGAGCTTGTGACAGAAACTCAGTTTCTTTTAAATGGCATATTTCTATATTTATAAGTGTAATCGATGATTTTAAATTTAGAATAAATCTTCATCTTTGAGCCGATGTATATCCAGGGGTGGATACAGGATTTAAGTGGGGGGGGGGAGGGGGCAAGATTTTTTTGGAACAAAAAAATTCATAATTAGGAGCAAAAAATCGCGGCGCAGGCGAAAATTTTTTTTGACTTAAAAGACTCAAAAAGAGTCAAAATTTATGACTAAAGACTAAAAAACTAGATTTTGAACTTTTCACACATTATAGTTTATTAATACAGATATTTTTCCTGTTTTGCACTAGGGTTTCTTTCCCTTAAGCATGCTATTGAGAAGCTATTCTGAAAATAGGAACAAAAAATTCCAAATTCAGGGGGGGGGCTACGCCCTTCCTTGAATCTGTCAGGGGGGGCTAATTTCCCCCGCCCCCCTGTATCCGCCCCTGTGTATATCACTTCAGAAACCCTACTTTCTCTCCGGCAAAATCTAGCCTGAACTTCTAGCTGTAAAATAATTGTAAATTATTATTCTAACCTTGAACTTTGAAAATACAACTAGATCCATAATCTCTGCTAATTATCCTATATTTTAATTAGAAAAATCTGAGTTTTTAACAGACAGGTTATTTTTGCACAGAATTATTCTGTTATTGCTATATAAGACCGCAAACTCACTCTTCAAACTTAGGAGTCTGGATAATTTTGGGTGTTTACCCGCGAGATTGCATTTTTTTTAATTGTTTAATGATTCTAAACGAAAAGCATAAAAACTTCTGCTGTGAACTAATGTTGCGAAAAAATTTGATCTCTAATCATTGAAAAAAGTAATTTTATTTATTCTTTTGTTTCAGCAAATATTTGATTCTTATCCTAAACGTTTCTCGTGGAGACGACAATCGAAGAAATATAAAGAAATCTACGAATATATTTTAGAAAATAAGAATTTTAAAAAAATTATCAGAGGCCGAATTTTTGAACCGCTTCTCAAATTTGAGACGCGGCTCAAACATGGTTGGTTCCACTTGAAATTGTATTCAGTGTTTCGAGATTTGAGCCGGCGTTCAATTGGATTCGGTTTTTGGCGGTTCAACGACTGGGTTTAAATTCTCTATATTCGGCCTATTTCTTTTAATAAACTGCATTTGCTTTAACAGCAAATTAGCTAATAGCAGAATGATTTTTGTAAAATGATCAAACAGTTTTAAAAATACGCTTCATGGGGTGGAGTCCATTCTGTGAATCCGTCTGGTAACCAGTTAATAAATGTTTTTACCCTCCTACGCAGCAATTATACAACATAAGTACAAGGTAGTAATCTCTGCTTGTTTGTTTGGATATCCGATCATAACTCAGCAACCCTTTCACCGATTTGCCTCAAATTTTGATTGGGGAACTCGGAGAACCACGGAAATGTTATTATCGGGATTTGAGATTCAAAGTTGAGTGGGCTAAAATCATGATTTAAGACCAAATGCGGGTAAACGGCGTTAATGAGTAACGTATGCAACGCTGGGTTCCTAAGCTAGTACACATACATAAGTATCACTGATATTAAATAAATCCTTGGTTGTATAGTACTAAACTTCAAGTTCGACTACCATACCTGGCCAGTCACTCCCTTTAAGAAATAAGTAAGCTCCATGACACACTGTTGACAAAATAATTTTTAGTTTTTAATTGCTTGCTATCGCGTAGCTATAAGGAATACACACCATGGTATCCTACCTTGTCTTTGTTTACAAAATAAGGTACTGCATGTCTGATTTTCTAATTCCTATATCCTTGCACCCCAATGTCGTAGACCTTAGATATTTCAAACTATGATTTCTGTTCGATAAAAAAATCTTGGTTTACAACACAAAGGTTTATGCACAATCAGGTTGCACTGATAAAGGGATCAGAAAATATGAGTTTCCTCCAAAGTACAAACAGTAGAAATATCGATAAACATAATCTTGAAAAATACAAGATTTATTAATATTTATAGTTTACTTCGATAATGGTTAAAATAAATAAACATATTTATAGTTTCATAAAACTTTTTATAGTGATTCAAAATAAATGTCAATTTAGCTAGTCTTTCATTTTTAATATAATGTGAATTCAACCAGAACAACTTCTGAACTGTTAAAAATGTTTTAAAATGTTTAAAAACGAAGTTTTAGCGTGTTTGGACCATTTTTAGACGATGTAAAAATCGAAAAAAAAAGGTCAGGTCAGACAGTATTTTTTAAAGTACAAAAGGAACTAATTTTTGCTAAACCTATATGTTTGCTACCTTATGTCATAGACCTTTGATATTTCAGACTTTAAACCCAACCTTCATAAAATTCAAAGGATTACATGACCAGGTTGCAAAGATAAAAGAAAGTAGATTTTGTGTTAAGTAATTTGTTCCATAGAAGGAAAATGGGTTTCATTATTTTACATAAAACTAGCACCATAGGGCCAAGAATGAATACGTTTGAGATCAAAAGCATGTTTAAATACGCGGCCCTTTCTCAGGGGGTTGGGGCAATACCTCCATATAATTTAAAGGGGGACTGGAGTTAGGGATTATCACAGAATATCACAGAAGCGAGAACGTTTAGTTGAGCTAGGTTCAAGTTTGACATTTCTCCAGGTAGCTATAGAAAGGGTTCTCTCCGAGCTAGATTTAGGTTGGGCGGAGGAGGACGGTATTCTCTCCGGGTCCTTGGATACTGCAGGGACGGGTCTGAAACAGAAAAATGCACTTTTAACATTTAATTGTTAGAATATTACATATACAGGACAATATATATAAGACATATAGATTGAGAGAAACTAAGTTTTTGCCACAAACTCGATTTTTCTAATCCCTAGCTGGCTTAAAAGGTTGGGCCCAAATTTGATGTTTTGGACATTTCTTTCTATAAAATGTCCCATGTCCTCTGTCCAGACATCCTAATAAAGAATTACAGTTTTAAATATAGAATTCCGATTAATTGTTCTGTAAATTTAGCTGACATTAAAACAAACTTAAAGGTTTGAAAATGAATTCATTGGAATTGATTAACAGAAAAGTTCAAATTGACATTCTATAAAACTAAACCTTAAAATTTAAAAATAAAGAACTTGAAATCAGAATTCATGATACTGTTGTCACGGAAATAAGGATTTGCAAATTATTTTTAAGACTTATTGAAAGTATATCACTGTTTGGTGGTTTGGTTTATTACTGTTTGGTGGTTTGGTTTATTACTGTTTAGTGGTTTGGTTTCTTACTGTCTGGTGGTTTGGTTTATTACTGTTTGTTGGTTTGGTTTATTACTGTTTGGTGGTTAGGAATTTATTACTGTTTGGTGGTTTGGTTTATTACTGTTTGGTGGTTGGGTTTATTACTGTTTGGTGGTTTGGTTAATTACTGTTTGGAGGTTGGGTTTATTACTGTTTGGTGGTTTGGTTTATTACTGTTTGGAGGTTTGGTTTATTACTGTTTAGTGGTTTGGTGTATTACTGTTTGGTGGTTTGGTTTATTACTGTTGGGTGTTTTTGGTTTATCACTGTTTTGTGGTTTGGTTTGTTACTGTTTGGTGGTTTGGTTTATTACTGTTTGGTGTTTGGTTTATTACTGTTTAGTGGTTTGGTGTATTACTGTTTGGTGGTTTGGTTTATTACTGTTGGGTGTTTTTGGTTTATCACTGTTTTGTGGTTTGGTTTGTTACTGTTTGGTGGTTTGGTTTATTACTGTTTGGTTGTTGGGAATTTATTACTGTTTGGTCTTTTTGGTTTATCACTGTTTTACTGTTTGGTGGTTTGGTTTGTTACTGTTTGGTGGTTTGGGTTATTACTGTTTGGTGGTTTGGTTTATCACTTTTTTGTGGTTTGGTTAGAAAGTTTGTTGCTAATAATATTATTCAAAATATCTGTTACGATATTACCTGAGTTCTGGTGGAGGGGCGTTTAGATACTTGTTCATGAGCATCCTGTACGATCCTAGAAATAAAAACATTTAAATTTTATAATAATTCAAACTTTCTTGTTTTTTAAATTTTTTTTTCATATCATTACAAAGTGAAATAGAATTTTTTAAGCGGAACATAAATACTGCTTTTGCCCTAATATGAAATTAGTATGTGCTATAATATAAAAATTTAATTTTTAACACCTTTTTCACTTTGTAAAAGTAAAAAGTCGAAAGTTTTTTCTGAATTAGTACGCTGTCATGGATGTTATTAAACAAAGGACAATGCTAGCCCCAGATAAACAGAATTCATAGTCTGAAAAATCTCAGGTCTACAAAGATAAAGAGAAAAGAAAATCAAAGTTTGTGGCGAAAAGATCAATTCCTTTGTTGTACATTTAAAATAACACTGATATTATTTCAGGAGACTGCCTCAACATGAAGTATTTACACATAATAGTAATAATGACATAATAAGTAGCTAAATATCAATTAATACTAAATACTTCCTGGAAAAGGATTAATAAAAAATATTATTTTCATCATTTAGAGTTTCTCTTTCTTTATTATGTCTGTCTGACGAGACGACCTTCAAACATGTAAAGTGTTCCAATAAACATGGGAGTAAAGTGACGACTTCTAGGTCGTCTTTTTTCCGCGCGGCATTATTACGTAAACTTAATTTAGTAGTTTCCCAGTTAAAACAGTTAACATGCAATTGTAAGTTCCAAAGTTTGGAGTTTCATAACAATTTTTTCATTTTCAAAATTGACGGAGAATAAAGAAACTTTTCAATACGTCTCTTTATTCCCATGTTTATTGGGACACCCTGGATCTATGTAAACGGAGTGTTTATCAGGAAACCCTAATTAAATTTAATCCACCTATTAAATAGAAAAAAATAAGGTTTAATCTTCATAACAATTGATGTGAGAAGATTTAAAGGAATATATATACTTTGCTTGTCTGTCTGTATGTTTGTGTCCAATAAGCGTCAAAACAGCTGAACCGATCGGGTCGAATTTTTCTTGGGACCTCACATGACCCCAGGGAAGTTTTATGGATGATCAAAATTTTATCATTTAACCTCCAACAAAATTGGATTTTCATTAAAGGAATAGAGTTTTTACCACAAACATATATTTTCAAATTCTTATATCTTTGCAACCTAATGGTGTAAACCTTTGATATATCAAACCTAGATTTTTAATCTAACATAATTCATAGTTTGAAATATCTAAGGTCTACGACATTGGGCGGCAAAGATATGGGATTAGGAAACCAGAGTTTGGACGCGAAGCGCCTTGAAAGCCTAGTTATTTTAAATGAAACTATATGTAAAGAGTTACATGTCTTATTCTCAACGGAACCCTTAGAACCTTTTCTAAAAAAATGCTAAAGATATTCTTATTTTTTTTCTGAAAACTGATAATTTTAAAAGACGGTCTCTTTATTCTTAAAGCGACTGCGGATTTTTGTAGAGACAAGTAATAAATTACTACGAATATTTGAAGGAAAGAAAGATGAAGATGTTTTCCGGATTATGACACAAATAAAGGTTTAAATGATCCATTATAAAATATTTCTTGAATGAATTCATTGTTTCACTTTATATAAAATTCATATTTTTACAACTTAATTGTTCAGCAAAAAATTAAAACTAAATAAAAAAAAAATATCATGATAACTTAGAACAAAGATATTCATTCAACGTCTGGTGAAATAAAAAATATAAATTTTTTTATCCCGGCATAAAATTTAATCTATTTAATTCATTAATTATTAAGAAAATTAAGATAATGAAGTTCAATACGGGTAAATTAATAATTTAATAATTGAATATTGTCGGCAGATGAGTCAGTAACCAAGTAAAATATTAAATTAATTTATCATTTGATAAATCAACAAATGATTAAAAAGAATTAATTACTCGCCACAAACTTCAATTTTCTAATGATTGTATCTCTGTATAGTCTTAACCTTTAATATTTCAAACTTTGAACATTTGATCTAAAATAATTCATAGTTTAAAATATCATGGCGTGGAAAAATATAAGGATTATAAAATCAGAGTTTGTATATAATAAGTTACTTTTTTTATCGATCTGTAAATGGTGAACTGATATACGATTGAATTAATCAAATTATTTACAAATACGTAAAAGGTAATTGATTAATGATTGAATTCTTTAAAAAAATTACAAATCGGTAAATGGATATATACGATTGAATTTATAAATTTATTTACAAATGGGTAACATTATAAATTGGTAAATTGATTTACAATTGAATCTTAAAATTATTTTCCAACGAGTAAAATAGTAGATTAATAAACTAAATCAAAAATTCGTAGATTTACAGAAATAAAAGAAGAAACGGTAGGTGGGATCTTATTCTTTGGACTTTAATTGACATATTGATGATTAATGATTTGGTAAAAAGAAATTCTTTTTGGGAAAAGGACTGATAGGATATAAAGTAATGAATTGATTTACAGATCAATTGATTGATATATTTGATTGATTTGATTGCTTTATTTGATTACCTATGGCTCGACTGCGTATTCCTAGTCCCATCTCCAGGCTAAATTCTTTCTAGATAAACCATTCATTGAAGAAATAATTCGCAGATTTGATCAAAAAAATTAAAATACAAAAATATTTTTTTTTTCAATTAACCATACTCCAAGAATTTCTAAAAGTGCTACTAAATATCATACAAGTCATTTCTGAAAGACTACATTTCTGAAAGACTACATTTCTGAAAGACTACATTTTTCAAACAAATTTAAGGAACTCTCACTTTTAACCTCCATCCCACTTCCCCCCCCCCACCCCCTCAAAAAAAACACTCCAAAAAACCTTGGAAAGAAAAAAGGACAAAGATGTGCTAAATGTTTTCTGATTCTTATATTTACACATTTTGTTGTTAAAAAGGATGTGATAGATTTACAAATCTCTTCTATAAATATTAATTTAGAAAAAATGATTTTGTAAATCATTTTAAAATATCATTTTTATAGTACAGTCGTCGTCGTATATATCAATACAATGAAGGCGACTTTCGATTTAAATTTTAGATTTATACCAAGCTTTTTAATATCATGGATACACATAAACATGGAAACAAAGAGAAGTTGCCAATTAACAGCTTCTCTTTGTTTACTTGTAATTCAAATAAGCTTGTTAGAGACAAAACCTAAATAGAAAAGTCGTCTTCATTGTATTGATATAAACGCCGACCTCTGTATATACAACTTAAACTAAAAATTATCCAATCCCAGACAGTGGAGGTGTATTTTTATGTTTAAAAAACTGATTTAAATCCAGTAATTAAAGAGATAACAATCTCCACTCCCACAACTAGTTTTCTTAGTTGCCAAATTTTTGTTTTTAAAAAGACTTTAAAAATACTGTTTTCAATGGGATTTTAGATTAAATTCAGAGTTTTTAAGTGTTTATTGTGAGAGGAAAAAGAATTGACAATCCTATATACATAGGTCCAGACAGCTATGAAAAGTTTCAAGACTGGGTCGCCTTTCAAGGCCTTGAATTATACCACACTAACTGACGTATAATTTTCTGTGGCCCAAGACATGTAAATTTTAAAACTATAAGGCACTTGCTTGTAGATTTAGCTTAAAAGAAGTAACTGGCAAAATTCTCTTTTTTTTTTATTGAGAGCTTGCCACTTAGAATCCCTGTGCCAGTGTGCCTAGCTTTTTTTAAAAATTACTTTTCGAATTGTGTAATGTATTCGTTATTTGTTAATTTTAGAAAATAAAAAGTATCTATAAAACTTTGGGGGGCCAGCCAATCAAAACAACCAGAAATGGTTAAGCTGTAGCCCTGGTTAATGATTGTTTAGTAAAAAATTAAAAAATGTAAAATGTATTTATTATATATATTATATATTATATATATTATAATGTTAGCCGAAATATATATCTACCTATCTATCTATCTAGCTCATTTGTACTGATTTTAAAAATTCATACTTAACCGTAAGGCAGCTCTAGACCAATAAAATTTGTTAGAGTGCAAAACCGGTAAACATTCAAGGCTATTTTTAGACTTTCAGTTCAAATTGACTTTTCGGATTTAAGCTTCGCTCATTAGCACTCTTAAAAAAAATAAATTATATGTTATTATTTTGGGTTCAATTGGTTCAATTGCAGCATATATAAAGTTTAAAAGTAATGTTCAGAACAAAGGTAAGTTGGACCATAATTCCAAAACATGCAACGGTGACAGTTGAAACCGGGGTTTAGATTGAATTGTAAGGTTTGCATAGTGTGACCCATAAAACTTTGGAAAAGGAAGACGACCGTTAGACTCAAGTAAAATTTCAAAAAGTACTTAAACACATAAGTTGTGCATTGTGCAGTGTGCACAGACCGATTTTACTTAATTAGCTGATTTTCAATTTACTGGTAAACCTATTTGCTTTACAACAACATCAAATATAACGCATAAGATTGCTTAAATATCGTCTTTATGTCTTATGAGAGTCACTAAATTAAATTTGCTGTTAAGATAGAAAAATAAATACATAATTATTTTTGAGAAGTTTACCTAAAAACAGGAACTAGTAATATACCGCTTAACTTAATATGTTTTGTCTTTAATACATAATAGAACAAAGCGTTTTTTTATTTTGTTTCTCCCATAGATTAAAATGTATATTTCAAATTAGTTTGAAAACTAAACTGGTTCCTTGTCAATTATTGTTTAAATGTCAAATCTTATTATTCAGTTCACTAAGGAAGATCATTACCCCCCCCCCCCCCCTCCTTCGGGCGTTTATTAACTTGTACTTTAAGACTGAAAGAATGAAAAAAGTATAAAACATTAATTCTGAAAGATTAGGACTAAAACCGTACTATGTACGTACATTTTTGAGCCCCTCCCCCATCAATTTTTTTTGTTTCGTCTAAATGCTAAAGAATATTTTTCAGTAAAAAGACATTTTTTATGGTTTTTTTAGGTGAAAGAATTACAGCAAAAAAGTATATAAAAACTTAAATTAAAATCCTATATTTCTACATTCTCCAAGTTTTATCTTCCTAATTAAAAAAGAAAAAATTATATAATCAATGAAAACTAAAATTTTTAAAGTTTCATTAGAAAAATTTATTAATTAATTTCAATTTTTTTTGTTGTTGGCAATTTAAATGTTAATATTTACGCAGTTTTGTGGTGGGGAATTACCCTTGTGTACGAAGTTTCCCCGTGAAAAAGCTTGTATACAGTGTTTAATAACCTTCACTTTTTTATTTTAAATACCCTTATTCAATTGCTTTGGCGAAAATTCAAGAATTCTTTTACAAAAAATGTGTCTTTTTCAAAAGATTTAGATAAGGGTTGAATAAATAGAGATAAGTGTGTTTCTTGAGAACATATTTATACAGTAGTAAACAAGTGTTACTAGCATATAGTTGGATTCAGCTGAACTATGGCCCCGCAAGCAATTAGAAAACCTCCTTTTGTGAACCACCTACTCAACTGGTTTAAACGAGACGAACCGTCAACCGATAATTTTTTATTCCAACTTCATCATCAGTACACAACCTTCATCATCATGTTCGGGTTCCTCTTCATCTTCATCGAGAACTACCTGGACGGAAGAGCAATCACTTGTCAGGGAGGGGATCAGTATACCAAGGCCTACTGCTGGATCCATGGATCATCCTATGTCGGAAAGCATCTACAGGGTGAAGTTACAGGTTGCTTTGTACACCCTGATATTGTAGTATCTGCTAATAATGAGCCTGTAACATCATATTATCTCTGGTTACCCCTCCTACTCACCTTCTGTTTTCTATTCGCCAAATTACCGCGAAATATCTGGCGAAGTGGTTTTGAAGGAGGGAAAATAAAGAATATTCTCCAAGACAACAAGAATCTAAACATTAAAGCTATTCATTCAAACTTTCAAGATGAACGAGGTTTCTTCTTCATGTATCAGATTAAATTCATGATTTGTGAGATCTTAAACCTTGTCATGATTGGGCTCAGTATCTGGACAACTCACATCCTTCTCAGGTCCAAGTTCCAAGGATATGGTCCTGCAGTTCTTAAATATCTATTCTTCGATGTTAACTCTGGCAAAGAACCAGTGCATAATCCTATGTGTGAAGTATTCCCTACAGAAGTTGGATGTAGAATCCGTGTAGGATCTCCAGCTGGGGGTATAGAGGAGCACAACTATCTCTGTATACTCAGTAATAATCTTTTTAATCAAAAATACTTTTTACTCCTTTGGGTTTGGTGGATTTGTCTGGCAATCCTATCCATCCTGGGACTAATATACAGATGTGCAAGAATAGCACTCCCAGATTTCTCCAGGTATGTGTTATCACTGTCCGTGAAATCTGTCAAGTTGGAGAACTTGAAGCTGAGCAGCGGGGACTGTTTTGTGCTGGACCGACTGAACAAGAACATGATCCCACGGCAGATGAATCTTCTACTGGAGGAGATACAAACCAGACAGATTAAGCAAGAAAATGAAGAGAATACTGATATTTCAGTACTTTTAGACAAATAAGCTCGATAAAATAAAATTGTTTAGATGATGCAGATGGAAGAAGTCTAAAGAATGAGACTTTAACAAACATGGAGGTTACTCCAGAGATGATAAAAAAAAAACAATCATAGGCTGCATACTAGAACATTTCTACTGTTTCTTTTTGGCTACTGTTGAACTATTGAGAAAATCGTAGATGTCAGCTGTTACAGTGGAACAGAGTGTAGTAGAATACGAGAAGTCGGGATCAGGGCGCCAAGAACTGCACACTGGGTATACAAACGACTAATATGCATAATGGATCATCCGGTTTTTTTAATCGTAATGTAGGTCATATACTGAAATTATAATCTCAACTATGCTATATAGATATTTTAGTTTATTAATTGTAATGTAATTTCTCTGTTATCTAATTGTGTTATCGTTTCAATATTTTATGTAATATATAATATATCTAGATAATATGTATTTCTGATAAAATTATCAAGACAGAGAGATGAGTGATTTAGATTTATAACCTGCACTAAGAAACAAAGGTCATAATTTAGGGATGCAATTCTCGACCTCAGTCTTATCTATCGATCTTAGTTGGCAGTTGCGAAGGGGTGCAACAGTTCCCCTGAGCAAGTTTAAAAGGGGTATAACCTTATCCTAAATTTAAGTTTAGTTTAGAATGCCATTGAGAGTATTAGAAAAAGCTCTGCAATACTATTAAAAAGATATATTTTAATCAAATAGATTCTAGTACAATAGGTGGCAAAGTAGAATTTGTACACTCTCAGTACAGCTGTTTTCGTCACAAGTGTCAACTTGGTTTTTTTTGTCCGACAAAATTATTGATAGTGATAATTTTAGAACAAAGTGCTTATCTTACAGTAAAATAATTGCAATTTCATGTGTTCTTTATTTTCTGTTTTTACACTTTTTTATTTAATCTTAGAAACCATGTCAACAAAAACGAGAAAATTTCGTTTTCCTTGTTATATTTGACACTTGTGACGTCATGTATAATTGTTCCATTTCTCTGTTGCCACCAATTGTACTTGATAATCTATTTGGTTTTAATAATTAAATAACAAGACGAAGGCCTTTGATCGTTACTGCAGCTTGAACCTGAATGGGCCTCACTGCGATTTAATGGTCTCACGCTCTCCAGCAAAAATCGTTGAGAATTTTGCCAATTACTTTTAAAAAACCAAATCTAACAAGAAGTGCTTTACAGTGCTAAAATGTACATGTAAAGGGCTACAGAAAAGCAAAAGTGAGTTAGAGCAGAAAAATCTAAGCTTAGGGCGTTGTGACACTTCAAAGTCAACCCAGTCTTAAAAATTGATGAGACTGTTTATAAGGAGGCTGAATCTATGTGGCGCCTATAGAGTGATTCAAGAATGAAAAATGTGTTTACAGGAACTGATTACTCGCCACAAGCTCTAGTTTTCTTAAACTTAATCTTTGCAACCTGATGGTTGTGAAGAAGGGTTAGAAATTTAGAGTTTTTTGATTGTGGCAGGTGTTCAGTTCTTCTAGCTCTATTAAATCAAAACCGCCAACTTTTTTGAAAGAAAAAGCAACAAAAAAGGGTACCGAGTAGGGGGAGACCGGCTATGTAGGGTAGATAAACCGAGTATGCAGCGCTTTGGACAAATTCTTTAGGATTCATTTGAGACATAAAAAACTTTTCCACGATGTATTTGTGGAAAAATTCTTTAGGATTCATTTGAGAAATATAAAACTTTTTAAAGATCTGTAAATCCTAAGTTTGAGCGCATAGTCACCATTCAAAATCACGAATTTGGGTGGGTACGTTTTCAGAATCGATTTTTTTAAATTATTAAATAACGACGAAGAAAAAATTATACAGTAAACTAAATAGATGGTTAGGAACCAGGGAGCACGGAATAGAAGGGAGAGACAACTGACGCGGTTCGCCCTACCATATGATTATACATGCTTTGCAGACGAAGTACTCCATTTAGTAGGGCCCCACAGGAAAAATATGTATTGGCGAAACTGGTCAAAGAAAATTGAAAGTTTTGTCTGATCAAGTATGAATTGGATATTAATGTTTATAACTTTGAAAACTTATTATTTTCAATTGTTGTATTTCTACAAAAGAAAATGTGCATTTCTACTGCAGGAAAACGTATCAGATTTAAACACTTATAAACCCAGAAGAACGACAATATCTTCCACATTATTTATAAGATAAAGGTTTCAAGGGTACTGTTGTGAATCAGACATTGCTATCTTTGCATGGAGGGTCACTTGAAATTACTATTCCATTTCCTTTAATGTGAAATGAGTAATGACATCTTCTTCAAACAGTGATAACTTGAGAATACATTTTCTGGTTTTTTTTTGGCGAAAGTCTTGTTTAGTTTGAATTCATAAATTTGATGGTTTAATATCCCTGAGTTATTCCAAGTGAATTTAACTCCTTCAAAACATTTTTCTCCAGGTCAGATTGATTCTCTGCTCCGATCCTGTAAATGTGAAATGAGGCAAATGTGATTATACTTCTTTATTCAATTGGAAACACCGCTAAAACATATATTTCTTTGAAAAACTTGCTATTTTGTGAGCTTTCAACTGTAAGAAAATCAAAATATTTTTCGAGTGACATTTTTAAATCTTAATTTAAACATTCCCAACCCGGGGCATATGAAGTCTCACAAAAAACCTGTTTTTAAGCACTATACTTTATACCTTGGATATAGAATAAAGGCAGTATTCTGTTTTAAAATACAACTACAGTGAAACCCTTCATAACGAATACATTAGAAGAATTTATCAAATGTCGTCTTGACAATTTTTCAATGAATTTTATACTATATTACGTAAATTTCAGTATTTGCGAAAATAAATGAATAGCCATGAATATGCGGGAACAGTTTTAAAGAGTTCCATGTAATCATTTAATTAACAAACTAAATATCTGCAACATTCCATTATCAGAAAGTGAAGAATACGACATTTGATGAATTCTTTCGATGTATTCTTTATTAAGGGTTTCACTGCATATACATTGGATATAGAATACAGGCAGTATTCTGTATCAAAGCACTATACTATATACCTTGGATATAGAATATAGCCAGTATTCTGTATCAAAGCACTACTATATACCTTGGATATAGAATACAGGCAATATCCTGTATCAAAGCACTACTATATACCTTGGATACAGAATACAGGCAGTATCCTGTATCAAAGCACTACTATATACCTTGGATATAGAATACAGGCAGTATCATGTATCAAAGCACTACTATATACCTTGGATATAGAATACAGGCAGTATCCTGTATCAAAGCACTACTATATACCTTGGATATGGAATACAGGCAATATCCTGTATCAAAGCACTACTATATACCTTGGATATAGAATACAGGCAGTATTCTATATCCAAGTACTACTGTATACCTTGGATATAGAATACAGGCAGTATACTGTATCAAAGCACTACTATATACCTTGGATATAGAATACAGGCAATATCCTGTATCAAAGCACTACTATATACCTTGATATAGAATACAGCCAGTATCATGTATCAAAGCACTACTATATACCTTGGATATGGAATAAAGACAGTATCGTCTGATATCCACGGAGTATCCTGAAGCCATGCACTGCTTGCTAGTTCAGGCATTTTGCACCTTGAACTAGGATTTCTCTGCAGTAAACTAAATTTTCAATTTATAAATAATTGTTTACTGAGGCAAAAACTTTTGTCTGGTAAAGCGATTTTACCCCGTCGACTAAAATTGATATTCACAGTGTAACTTTTGAATCGAAGGATTTAAATTTAATTATAGAGATATTAAAGGTATTTCCGTCAAGATCTAATAAAAGTGGGTTGAAGAAAGGGTTAACCAAGTCCAACAACTTAAATTGAACTGTCGGGGAAGTGATTACACTAAGCGCGTTAAGAACAGAGTTAAACTTTAAAAATGACATAAACATAAACAAGAACCAACCGAAAATGTATTTTTTAAATGTTTCTATTAGAGTTAAAACAACTTTTTGCGATAAAATCTTAAATACATGAATTTAAAACGATAATAAAACTCAGTTTTTACTTAATCCAAAGATATTTCACGAATAAAATGGTGTCAAACCTTAATAATCTATTATATAGAATTGTGGAAGATAATTTTTAACAAATGTTTATAATACAAATCAAGTATTTATAATATTTGCTTACGGACCTGTCAATCAAAGATTTACAAGAGTCGGATAGATTCGGTGGATGGAAGTAAGAACCCTCCAATATAGCATGTTTCAATCCTAAAACAAGGATTAGGAAGGTTAAGAGTAAAAACCCTCCAATATAGCATGCTTCAATCCTAAAACAAGGATTATGAAGGTTAATAGTAAGAACCCCCAATATAGCATACTTCAGGTTAGGAGGATGGAAGTAAGAACCCTCCAATATAGCATGTTTCAATCCTAAAACAAGGATTAGGAATGTTAAGAGTAAGAACCCTCCAATATAGCATGTTTCAATCCTAAAACAAGGATTAGGAAGGTTAGGTGGATGGAAGTAAGAACCCTACAATAAAGCGTGTTCAATCCTAAAACAAGGATTAGGAAGGTAAGGAGGATGGAAGTACGAACCCTCCAATAAAGCGTGTTCAATCCTAAAAAAAAGATAGGAAGGTTAGGAGTAAGAACCCCAATATAGCGCACTTCAGGTTAGGAGGATTGGAGTAAGAACCCTGCAATAAAGCGTGTTTCAATAATAAAACAAGGATTAGGATGGTTAAGAAGGTTAGGAGTAAGAACCCTCCAATACAGCGTGTTTCAATACTAAAACAAGGATTAGGATGGTTAGGAAGGTTAGGAGGAAGGAAGTAATAACCGTCTAATAAAGCGTGTTTCAATACTAAAACAAGGATTAAGAAGGTAAGGAAGACTATGAGTAAGAACCCTCAATATATCGTGCGTTAATCCCAAAACAAGGATTTGGAAAGTTAGGAGTAAAAACCCTCCAATATAGCATGTTTCAATCCCAAAACAAGGATTAGGAAGGTTAGGAGTAAGAACCTCCAATATAGCATGTTTCAATCCTAAAACAAGAAGTAGGAAGGTTAAGAGTAAAAAACCCTCCAATATTGCGAGCTTCAGTCCTAAAACAAGGATTAGGAAGGTTAGGTGGATGGAAGTAAGAACCCTCATATAAAGCGTATTTCAATCATAAATCAAGGATTGGGAAGGTTAGGAGGATGAAGAACCCTCCAATAAAGCGTGTTCAATCCTAAAACAAGGATTAGGAAGGTTAGGAGGATGGAAGTAAAAACCCTCCAATAAAGTGTGTTCAATCCTAAAACAATAAAATTTTCCAAAATAAAACCTTTCAGAGTCTCAAGTAACTGAAAAATCTAAAGAAATAGTGTCAAATAATGGCTACAATGCGAGAAAACTTTTATTTCATTTTATGTAATCAGAATGAGCATTTTACTAACATTTAATTTTACTAACCTGATACAGTTGCTGATTTAAAAGGCATATTTCCTGTGACAAGGAAATATAAAAGGATTCCAAGAGCCCACATATCAACATGGGGTCCAATATAGTGATCATCCTAGAACACGGGAGATATATAGTGATCATCCTAGAATACAGGAGATATTTAGAGATCATCCTAGAATACAGGAGATATTTAGAGATCATCCTAGAATACAGGAGATATTTAGAGATCATCCTAGAATACAGGAGATATTTAGAAATCATCCTAGAATACAGGAGATATTTATATATATCCTAGAATACAGCAGATTAAGTGATCATCCTAGAATACAGTTGATAAAGTGATCATACTACAATACAGGAGATATAGTGATCATCCTAGAAAACAGGAGATAAAGTAATCATCCTAGAACTCAGGAGATATAGTGATCATCCTAGAATAGAGATATAGTGATCACTAAATTATCATGTTTATTGGGAAACCCTGTGACAGGAGTGTTTACAATTATCCCCCTCCAAACCCCATTAAAGAATAGAATACAGAGAATATATTGATCAGTAAAGAATACAGAAGATAAAGTGATTTTAGAATATCTGCTGCATGAATCCACAGTTTACCTTTATTATTTGATAGAGAATTTCAATTTTCATTTTCAGAAAGAAAGTCAAGTATATCTCCATCAATTTTGCTCGGACAAAGATTAAAGGGCAACGTTCCATTATACTTAATTTAAATCTTTAATTAAAAGTAACAAAAGTTGCACAAAATTTATAGTTAGTAGCCGCAGTAAGATTTAACCTGAAAAAGCTCTGGAGCTGCATATGGAGGAGAACCGCAGAATGTAGTAAGATGCTGCTCCATATTTCCTAGTTTAGCTGCAAACCCAAAATCACCGACAACAACCTGGAAATATTAAAAAAAAAACAGAATTTTCTTTAAAATTCCGAGGTTATATTCAAAGTTTTTGATCCTTCTCTGAAATATTATTTTGTAGTTTGTATTTTGTAGACAAATTACTTAATTTTGTAGATTTTTTTGTGTCAAGAATATTTTTGCCCTGTCTGCTACAGGTACAATGTACTTGATCTGTAGACAAGTAAACAAGCGGGGCCAAATATTTTACAAAAACATAAATGCTAAAGGTTAACTCTTCTCTTGTCAAACTGTAGCCGTCCTTCATTAGTCAAGTAAGCTTTAATCCTTCCCTTGTCAAACTGTAACCATTCTTTATTAGTCAAGTAAGCTTTAATCATTGATCATTTATGCTGTAACCATCCTTCATTAGTCAAGTAAGCTTTAATCATTGATCATTTATGCTGTAACCATCCTTCATTAGTCAAGTAAGCTTTAATCCTTGATCAGTCAAGCTGTAACCATCCTTCATTAGTCAAGTAAGCTTTAATCCTTCCCTTGTCAAACTGTAACCATCCTTCATTAGTCAAGTAAGCTTTAATCCTTCCCTTGTCAAACTGTAATCATCCTTCATTAGTCAAGTAAGCTGTAATCCTTCCCTTGTCAAATTGTAACCATCCTTCATTAGTAAAGTAAGCTTTAATCCTTCCCTTGTCAAACTGTAATCATCCTTCATTAGTCAAGTAAGCTTTAATCCTTCATTAGTCAAGTTAGCTTTACTTCTTCTCTTGTCAACATTCATGGATCGTTGCAACATTGTTGTATCTGTAAACTTGCTGTTTTTCTGCCAAATATTTTAGAAAAAATTTCAATATAAAGTTTCCCCAATGGGAATTTGCAGGTAGGGTTGTAATTTCAAGACTAAAACCAGCTCCACGGAAGTGTTTATATCTACGTTAAATCAGAATTTTCATTATTTACCTTGGCTGGAGTAAGAAAGAAAACGTTTTCTGCTTTAACATCTCTATGAATCATCCCGTGGTCGTGCTGGAAAATATATTGACAGTTTAGAGCAGTATTCAATGTTACCCGACTGTACGGAATTTATTCTTACATTCATGGATTATTGCAACATGGTAGCACTGTTAAGTCCGTTTCATTTCAAGAACCGGGCTGACATCTAACCAGCTAGGGCGAGCTGTACAGTACATGAACAGATTATTCCAGACAAAACGGGACAGTGAAGCAAATTGACCAGCTAAGGCGAGCTGTACAGTACATGTACAGATTATTCCAGACAAAACGGGACAGTGAAGCAAATTGACCAGCTAAGGCGAGCTGTACAGTACACATACAGATTATTCCAGACAAAACGGGACAGTGCAGCAAATTAACCAGCTAAGGCGAGCTGTACAGTACATGAACAGATTATTCCAGGCAAAACGGGACAGTGCAGCAAATTAACCAGTCCCTTCTTGAGTGTGTAAATTGTTGCTTTTCTGTCAAATCATTTGGCATATCTTTTAAAGACTATGTTTAAGGCAGAAAAGAATTGAGTTTTTGTCACAAACTAAAATCTTCTGATATCAATATCTTTGCAATCTGATGATGTAAACTCTGAAATGTAACATTTAAAGAGTTTTAGGTTGTCATTAAAGTCATATCTTGTGTAGGTAACCCTAATGTAAAAATATTAAAGTCGTATCTTGTGTAGGTAACCCTAATGTAAAAATATTAAAGTCATATCTTGTGTAGGTAACCCTAATGTAAAAATATTAAAGTCGTATCTTGTGTAACCCTAATGTAAAAATATTAAAGTCGTATCTTGTGTAGGTAACCCTAATGTAAAAATATTGCCAAAAAGAGAATAAAAGCATTAATGAATAGCTTTTTGCCTGTGGAAAGTCGGTAAATTTTTCCTATAAATATTACGGGGTCCAATCACAAATTTCCGCAATTATAACGTAAAATATGGTTTAGAGCTTGATAACTTATCTACCCAAATATAAAATTATCTTATTGCATGCCACAACGAAAGATTGTATTGGCATGACAAAAATTATTGAAATGGAAACATATATCATTTTATAAAATTATAAATAATTTTTAACAAAGTTTTTAACAAAATTTGGTCAAATTTGCCGAAAATTAAATATAAAGCTTTTTTGCATGGAAACCCTAATACAAACCTAGAATTTGTAATTTCGGATAATTATATAGATTATGACACGTTTCTTCTAAATAATATACAGGGTGTCCCACATCATATTAAATCGTCAATTGCTATGAATTACGATTTTTGGGACTAATTATAAAGTTTAGAAAAAATGAATCATTTTGAAAAATTGAATAGGGCTAGTATAAGAATTTTCTTGCGGAAAATGCTAGGTTTTTTGAGTATTTTGGGGTCATTTGGCGTTAAAACGTGTAGATAATCTTATAAGATATGGGACGCTCTGTATTTCAGGCTAGAATTTAAGGTTCACTAAATGCATTGAGAGAGGTTGCGTGATCCTAATAGACTAATTTTAAATAAATGTTCTTTTGTATCTTTACATAAGAACTTGACATTACGTGTTACGACATATTTTTTAAGGGACATTTTATAGGCACGTAATACTGATACAAATTACACAAGGTTTTTATAAATGACTTTGAATTTTCTATAGACTTAAAATGTACAAAAAAATCATTTAATTTTTTGAAATATTGATAAAAACGAATCAGTTAGTTGAAACGTTCTGAAAATCATCTCAATCTAAATCTATTGCATCTAGTCCAAAATATGAATATTTTTCCGAAAATTAATAAAACCTCACCATGTAGCAAATTCCGGAGGAGACTTGGGAAAATATTGGTTTAGCCTTCTCTTCAGAATATTTACCTAAAAACACATTTTTTAAATCAGCAAAACATTTTTTTTTTCAATTTCATAAACAATCCGAAATTAGGGTGTGAAGAGAGTATGACATGAACTCCCTCCCCCCTCGTTTAACGAAATCATTAATTTTTTTAACTAAGAAATTCTGAGAAATATTCTGTGCTTATCAAGTTTATTATTTATTTCTATGTTTTTCTTTTACATAATATCATCATTACAGCCTTTCTGTCTGCTGCATTCTGATCATGGAGAAATTATACTCTAGAGAGTATATATAGAGTATACTTCCTCTATGATCTAACATTCCAACATACACTCCTGAGTATACTTCCTTCATGATCCAACATACACTCCTGAGTATACTTCCTTCATGATCCAACATACACTCCTGAGTATACTTTCTTCATAATCCAACATACACTCCAGAGTATACTTCCTTCATGATCCAACATACACTCCTGAGTATACTTCCTTCATGATCCAACATAAACTCCTGAGTTTACTTCCTTCATGATCCAACATACACTCCCGAGTTTACTTCCTTCATGATCCAATATACACTCCCGAGTTTACTTCCTTCATGATCCAACATACACTCCCGAGTTTACTTCCTCCATGATCCAACATACACTCCAGAGTATACTTCCTTCATGATCCAACATACACTCCAGAGTATACTTCCTTCATGATCCAACATACACTCCAGAGTATACTTCCTCCATGATCCACAATAAACTTCAGAATATACTTCCTCCATAATCCAACTCCCTCCACGATATACTTCCTTCTTAATCCAGAATACACTCTAGAATATAGTTCCTCCATGATCCAACTATCTGATCCATTATATACTTCCTCCTTGATCCAACATATACAAGAACATACTTCCAGCATGATACAACTTTTTCCCTGATATAGTTCCTCCATGATCCAACATACACCTAAGGAACATACTTCCACCACGATCCAACTCTTTCCCTGATATAGTTCCTCCATGACCAAAAATGAATTTATTTCTTATATATTTTTTTTCCCTAGTACTGCAGTAATGTATGAGCTTTTTACAATACAGTTAGATATTGGTGTCTAGATAATTTCTCATGTTACACCTTATTTTAGACAGTTATTATTCTTTATCATAGAGGAAAGAAAATCTTCCTCCCCCCCACCATTACTTATACTATAAACCACTTTCAAGATTTAAGATCCAAACTAAAAATGTTGTTTAATGTTTATATAGATGGTTTCTAATAAACATAAAAATTAATTGACAACTTTTAGATCTTCTTTAATCTATACCTACACTCATAGGCTTCTAAAGGGGATCTGGTTTTTAATTTAAAAGTTTGTCAAGATTTCAATTTCAAAAAATGTCTAAATGTCGAATATCTCATTCACTCATTATTATATCTTGGAAACCCAGCTTGCCTAAAAACTGAACTCTCTCTCTGCAAAAGTCAACCCCCTGGTGTCAAAACTTTAAAACCAAGCTAAAAACATTCCATTATAAAGGGTTCTTGACAAAAACTTTTTCATTTTTTTCCTCATGTTATAATCCTTACATTGTTGCAGACCTTTATATTTCAATCTTTGAATTCTACAATATAGTTCAAAAAGTCTAAGTTTAAAATATCAAAAGATTGCGACATTTGTTGTTAATCTTACCATAATGGGTTAGCCTGGTAAATAGTTCTCCTCCAGGAGCTAGTTGCATACACAGGTAGATCTTATCCTTCTTCTCCAGTACTTCAAACAACCTAGAGTAAACATTATACTACAGGTATAGATCTTATCCTTCTTCCCCAGTACTTCAAACAACCTGGAGTACACATTAAACTAAAGGTAGATCTTATCCATCTTCTCCAGTACTTAAAACAACTTGGAGTACACATTAAACTGAAGGTAGATCTTATCCTTCTTCCATACTTCAAACTACCTGGAGTACACATTAAACTAAAGGTAGATCTTATCCTTCTTCAGTACTTCAAACAACCTGGAGTACACATTAAACTACAGGTAGATCTTATCCTTCTTTCCGAGTACTTAAAACAACTTGGAGTACACATTAAACTGAAGGTAGATCTTATCATTCTTCCATACTTCAAACTACCTGGAGAACACATTAAACTAAAGGTAGATCTTATCCTTCTTCAGTACTTCAAACAACCTGGAGTAGACATTAAACTAAAGGTAGATCTTATCCTTCTTCAGTACTTCAAACTACCTGGAGTAAACCTTAAACTAAAGGTAGATCTTATCCTTCTTCTTCAGTACTTCAAACTACCTAGAGTACACATTAAACTACAGGTAGATTTTATCCTTCTTCTCCAGTACTTCAAACAAACTTAAAGTATTTCCAAAATGCAGTCTGCAATTCTTGGGCAGGAAAATTTTCACATTTGTTTAGAACTTTATAAACAGGAACAATTTATTATTTGAAGAGGGTATGCCACATTTTAAAAGCCCAATTGAAGTAACTCTAATTTCCCACACTTTTCGGTATTCTTTAATAAAATCGAGGAAGATTTGCAAGACGTATATTGATTTTCATATTTTTAGGGAAACCCTGTATTTGGATTAAATTTTCTTTTATCATAACAAAAAATAATTGATTTTGTATCTAAAATAAAACATATTTTTGGGTCATTAAATTAATTACTGCAGGTTAACCTTGGAAAATCAATTCTGATAAGTAATTATATTTTCTTCAATATTTGTTATTTTTTACTGGATAAATATAAATACAGGGTTGGCACAGTTAACAAATAAATCATTTCAAGCAATTATATTTATGGCTTTAAATGTTAAAGGGAATTAACAAGCAATGTCAAGCGACCCTAAATCTATAAAGTGGCAAGACCAATTTATGCAGAATAGACAATGAAGGATATTGTCAGAATTCAACACTTTTAAAGCTAAAAATAGCTTCCTCATTCTGAATCGCAGATTCTGCTAAAAGATGAAGTCTCTTGAAATTAATAAGAAAAATGAAGGATCTCTTGAAATTATGTCTAAAGTCCCTTTAAACAGAAAAATGAAGGATCTCTTGAAATTATGTCTAAAGTCCCTTTACACAGAAAAATGAAGGATCTCTTGAAACTATGTCTACAGTCCCTTTAACCAGAAAAATGAAGGATCTCTTGAAAGTATGTCTAAAGTCCCTTTAAACAGAAAAATGAGGGATCGCTTGAAACTATGTCTACAGTCCCTTTAAATAGAAAAATTGAAGGATCTCTTGAAACTATGTCTAAAGTCCCTTTAAACAGAAAAATGAAGGATCTCTTGAAATTATGTCTAAAGTCCCTTTAAACAGAAAAATGAAGGATGTCTTGATATTATGTTTAAAGTCCCGTTAAACAGAAAAATGAAGGATCTCTTGAAATTATGTCTAAAGTCCCTTTAAACGGAAAGAAAGTATTAACACCAAGAAGTGAATCCTAAAAAAATGAATATTCAAAAAAATATTATAAACTAATTAAAATTCTACATCTGTGTAAAAGTAATAAAAGTCGTAATTATTGTGTTTATTGTCATAAATTTAACTAAACAATGTTTAATTTAGCATTTATGGTTGTTTAAGTATGATGTAACTAACTTAAACCTTCTGTTGCTATATCTACACTTTTTAAAGATACTCTTTTGAAAAGGAATTACTTTCTAGGCTAATTAGCAGTAAAGTATTAAAGCTTATTGAAATTGAAGGATTCAAGCCTATTTGACTAATCAAGGATTAAAGCTTACTTGACTAATGAAGGATGGTTACAACATGACTAATCAAGGATTAAAGCTTACTTGACTAATGAAGGATGGTTACAGCTTGACTAATCAAGGATTAAAGCTTACTTGACTAATGATGGATGGTTAAAGCTTGACTAATAAAGGATGAAAGCTTACTTGAATAATGAAGGATGGTTACAGCTTGACTTAAAAAGGATTAAAGCTTACTTAACTAATGAAGGATGATTACAGCTTGACTAATCAAGGATTAAAGCTTACTTGACTAATGAAGGATGGTTACATCTTGACTGATCAAGGATTAAAGCTTACTTGACTAATGAAGGATGGTTACAGCTTGACTGATCAAGGATTAAAGCTTACTTGACTAATGATGGATGGTTACAGCTTGACATGACGGATATTTCTCTGAGCAGCATCTTTGTTGTTTTCTGATCAAGGTTGGACCGATCAATAACCTTGATAGCCACTCGTTCTAGTAAATATTACAATTATTTTATAATTCAAATATATTTTATAATTCAAATATATTTTATCATTCAAATATATTTTATAATACACTGAAACACTTACTTTTTGCAACCTGATGCATGGTGTAACTCTTTTATGCTTCCAACATTTATAAGCATCATAGGTTGAAATGTCAATAGTCTACCACATCAGGTTTAGTTCATTTAATAAATATTTTTTCAGATTTTTGAAGATTTGTGTAATGAGAAATGAAAATGAGTATAAATAATATAAATATAATTTACAATTATAAATAGAAGTTGGGAATATATCATTTCTATTAATTTTTAGTTTAGAGGAATCCAAATTAAACCACAAACAACGAATTTTTATAAAAATAAAATTCATGCATAACAAAAATTTGAATGATTAAGCCTCCTTGAGTCTTTATAAAACTATTAGCTCAAGTGCCACACAGCGTGAAATTAAAAAATAAAGTTTAGAATATAAAAAAATGATTTTTGAAGATAATATTCGAGTTGTGAAAAAAATATTTGAATTCGACTTTGTCAATTTCCGCCAATTTGGTCCAGCCGGTTGGCCAACTATAGCTAACACACATATATATTTTATATATATACAAAATTCATATATAATATATACAAAATTTCTTTGACGGGTTGTCCTTTAATAATAATATTTACATGAGCAAAGATTGGAGGATAAACCATCATACATAAAACAATATATCGATAAACTCTATGCGGAATATATGACATCAGATTATTCCAGTCATTGCTCCCTTGCATGTACATGTTCAATAGAAAAAAAACAGATTTATTTTTTATGTTTTTTCTCGGTATTTAGTTCATATGTTACTGGGCAAAGTTTAAAATTTACAAACCTTTAGTTTTATGTTTAGCAAGGTGAACCCTGGAATTTACCTTGAGTAAGTTCATGTTTAGCAAGTCGAACCCTGGAATTTACCTTTAGTAAGTTCACGTTTAGCTAGGTGAACCCTGGAATTTACCTTTAGTAATTTTATGTTTAGCTAGATAAACCCTGGAATTTACCTTTAGTAATTTCATGTTTAGCTGGCGAACCCTGGAATTTACCTTGAGTAAGTTCATGTTTAGCTAGGCGAATCCTGGAATTTACCTTTAGTAATTTCATGTTTAGCTAGGTGAACCCTGGAATTTACCTTCAGTAATTTCATGTTTAGCTAGATGAACCCTGGAATTTACCTTTAGTAATTTCATGTTTAGCTAAGCGAACCCTGGAATTTACCTTTAGTAATTTCATGTTTAGCTAGAGTGAACCCTGGAATTTACCTTCAGTAATTTCATGTTTAGCTAGATGAACCCTGGAATTTACCTTTAGTAATTTCATGTTTAGCTACGCGACCCCTGGAATTTACCTTGAGTCAGTTCATGTTTCGCAAGGTGAACCCTGGAATTTACCTTGAGTAAGTTCATGTTTAGCTAGATGAACCCTGGAATTTACCTTGAGTAAGTTCATGTTTAGCAAGGTGAACCCTGGAATTTACCTTGAGTAAGTTCATGTTTAGCTAGGCGAACCCTGGAATTTACCTTGAGTAAGTTCATGTTTAGCTAAGCGAACCCTGGAATTTACCTTGAGTAAGTTCATGTTTAGCTAGGCGAACCCTGGAAAAGTTTCCAATCCCGAGTTCTCCTTTAAATCTATAGAACCCTATTCTGCGCCCAGTCAATGTTTCTCTTAAAAAAAAATTTGATAATTAAATTTTTTTGAGGGCACCATTTTTAAATGGAAATTGTATGTATGTATGTATGGTAGTTCAGCTGAGTATGTAGTATTGTGGAAAAATTCTTTAGGATTCATTTGAGATATATAAAACAATTCTACAATGTATAAACTAAGTTTGAGCGCAAAATCGACGTTCAAAATCGTCTTTTTGGGTGGATACATTTGACGGTCGTTTTTTCTTCTTCTCGTAAAACAAACTTTTGAAAAATGTGGGTAAATTGAACAGTGTTGGTCCTTTTTTTCCAACCTGTTTCTATTTATGCCATCAGATTATTGTAATTTTTTTTAGATTTTTTGTCGTCGTTGTTTAAAAATTTTAAAAAATCACAAAATTAGTGATTATACATCGTAGAAACGTGTCTTAAATGAATTTTTCCACAGTACTGCATACTCAGCTCAACTACCATACATAGCCGGTCACTTCATTTAAACAGTAAAGATCATGACTATCCTTTATTTATTTTTGAATTCGGATTTATTCCTACGAGTATAATAAAGAAAAAACTTAAAACATTAAAATCTCAGGAAACAATAAAATTTCAAAAGTTCTTAATAATTAAAACGTATTTATAAAACATATTAAGCATTTTTTTTACATGGAAGAAAAATATTAAAAAAAATATTAAAATATATTTGATTCTTCTCCTATTTCGTGAAGATTCCTTTTAGCTGAAAAATTGTATTTTCTACCTGAACCAATCCTCGTCGTTATCGATCTTGTTGATTAGTTTATTGTACGCAGTTTCAGTAGGTTCACTAGGTTCACCAGGATTTTCATGGTTCTCCTTGTCTACAGGTTTAGCAATATCTTTGGCAGTGTTTACCCTGTAACCGGGTTTAATGAATTTGAGCCGCTGCTTAGATTTAAGACGCGGCTCAAATATGCTCGGTTTCAATTAAAATTGTATTAAATTTTTCAAGATTTAAGCCGGCGCTCAATTTAAACCGGTTTTTGGCGGATTTGAGACGCGGCTCAAATTCCTTAAATTCGGACACAGGTATCTTGAATCGGGGATTCATGAGTTGTCCCTTAGTTTAGAATGGGAATTAGGGAGCTCTATAAGATAGTTGAATCGGTGGTAAGTAGTTCAGCGACCTAGCTTAAATTCATTAAATTCGGTCCCTGATCAGCGAGGTTTTAACCTTTATCTCAGGGCTCAGGGACATAGAAACAGGGGCACTCAAACTACAAAATATTTATTTTTTAACCAGAAACTAATCCTGTTTTATAATATACAATTGTTGATTTTGTAATTACTGAAAACCCAGAATCTGTTTACAAACTATTTTGTTGTAATAATAATCTATATTAAAATTTGGCTTGTCTATCTGTCTGTCTGTGTCCAATAAACGTCAAAAGGTTAATAGGGAAATATTTTGGGTCCGTCCTAGAGAACGATTTCTCTAGAAAATTACCAATATATTTTTGAACAGCAACATTTAAACGCTTCAAGTGTTGGTAGAAGAGTTGCGCCCTCGAAAAGTCTATTTTGTAAAACCTACATAAATTAATGGTTTAGACAAAATACCTCTTTTAAAAAAAAACAATCTCTTTTCTCTCTTGTTTTTTAAATACTGATGTAAGAAAAATCCCGATTTTTAAAATCTTTCTAATCAGGTTGGAGTAACTTTTAAGAACATTTTTTTAATAGAAGTCGGAAATTTTGCGTGAATATTGCTAATCTTGGATGCTAGATCTCAATATTCTATGTGTGCACGTTTAAATCTGAGAATCAACGCTTGATCCTTATCCCTGCATTCAAGTTACCCCTACTTAATATAACAACCACGACATATAAAATCTATATAATAAAACAAGACATTCATATATGTTCCCTCTGGACGACCAAACGGCTGGACCGAATGGGCTGATATTTTTTTGTGGACACCCCGTCATAGGATAAAAAATCGAATTAAATTTTTTTTTCAAATATTTTTTCTTCTTGTTTTTCCACGGGCAACGCCGGGCCCTTGAGCTAGTTATTTTATAAAATCGTAGATCTGCATAGGATAGAGATGAATGATTGATCCATATATGATTCACAACACAAAGTTCTAACTTCTAAAGTAAAAAGAAACAGAAAAGCTAAACTTGTTGTATATTTCTAAATATTATATTCTCTATATATCTCCAGGATATCTATGATATATGCAGTGTGTAGACATATTCATCACAATCCAAAAATAATACACATAATACTCAAATGATGGAGTGTTTTTCTTTACTCAGACTTATATTCAGCTGGGATATGTAGAGTTAGATACATTTATAAATCTTATCATTATTATTAGCAGACAACTCATCATTCCATGAAGTCTTTATGTCCACAAAGGATGAGACTTCAGAGACGACTATACGGAATTTATACTATGTGTTTCCTCACATATATGATTCTCTGCAACTGTAACCTTGTTTGTTCTTTATAAAATCATTTAGAAGGCCATACAAAGACCATTTTCAAGGCAAAAGACTTGAACCAAGCTTGGAATCGTCATGTATAAACAGTTTCAGGTCGTTCTTAAAGTCTCATCAATTGTGGGTAACCCTGTTTAGACGGACAATCCATACACTTACTGAGATAACTTAACAAGAAAATGATTATTTGTTTAGATATCTGGTCCAAAAGGTCGTTTTCTGCCGAGAATTGTACTTTCTTTAAATGTTAAAGATCTAAAAATGTAGAATATATACTTGGAATGGATCTATAGACAAACTCATACCTTGATCTGAGAATGTAGAATATACCTGGAATGGATATCTAGATCAAATAATCCTTGATCTGAGAATGTAGAATATACCTGGAATGGATATCTAGATCAAATAATAATCTAATCCTTGATCTAAGAATGTAGAATATACCTGGAATGGATATCTAGATCAAATAATGATCTACTCCTTGATCTAAAAATGTAGAATATACCTGGAATGAATATCTATATCAACTAATGATCTAATCCTTGATATAAGAATGTAGAATATACCTGGAATGGATCTCTATATCAACTAATGATTTACTCCTTGATCTAAGAATGTAGAATATACCTGGAATGGATATCTAGATCAAATAATGATCTACTCCTTGATCCAAGAATGTAGAATATACCTGGAATGGATCTCTATATTAACTAATGATCTACTCCTTGATCTAAAAATGTAGATTATACCTGGAATGGATATCTAGATCAAATAATGATCTACTCCTTGATCTAAGAATTTAGAATATACCTGGAATGGATCTCTATATCAAATAATGATCTACTCCTTGATCTAAGAATTTAGAACATACCTGGAATGGATATCTAGATCAAATAATGATCTACTCCTTGATCTAAGAATGTAGAATATACCTGGAATGGATATCTAGATCGACTAATGATCTACTCCTTGATCTAAGAATTTAGAATATACCTGGAATGGATATCTAAATCAAATAATGATCTACTCCTTGATCTAAGAATGTAGAATATACCTGGAATGAATGTCTAGATCAAATAATGATCTACTCCTTGATCTAAGAATGTAGAATATACCTGGAATGGATATCTAGATCAAATAATGATCTACTCCTTGATCTAAGAATATAGAATATACCTGGAATGGATCTCTATATCAAATAATGATCTACTCCTTGATCTAAGAATTTAGAATATACCTGGAATGGATGTCTAGATCGACTAATTATTTACTCCTTGATCTAAGAATGTAGAATATACCTGGAATGAATGTCTAGATCGACTAATGATGGTGTGTTGATCATCAGGAAACATTGCTATATGTTTACCATTCTTAAACCCCGACAACCTTGAAAAGTTCAACACATAATTTAATAATAGTTCCAAATAAAGTGAAAAATCTAACTTTCGAATTTTTGTATCTTTGTAAACTGTTGTAAATCTTTGATATTTAAAATCATGAATTTTGCTAGCTCAAATAATCAAACTTTTACATCTATATCTATATCGAATATATAAATCTTGACCCCCTTTCATATTTCGTGAACAATTCCTTTGATATGAAAACAAGCAGAAAATAATTCTCCTGTTTAATGATATTGAAAGTAAATTTATTATTTTCTATAACTTTGATTATATTGAGTATCGAAGCGGATGGTAGAAGAATGAGAGGATATATATGTATTTATATATATATTCTCGGTATTTTAACAAATAATAAAATAGATGATATCCCCTACCAGTTATCAGATTAGGAAAATCATTTTAGATAGAATAGAATGTTTCATATCGTCTTATTTTTGTCATTAAAGGATATTTGTAACTGATTTTTTGAGGATTAGTGCTTGATTCCTTGATTAAAGTTATCCCTAAACGGTATGACCACCACGGCATTAAATTAATCCGTAATTTAAGTTATAGAGATCAATGATTGGTACACAAAACTTCTGATTTAAAACATTTTTGTCATATATTGATAATTTATTTACAAAGGGGCTGAACACTTGGTTCAAACTCTTATTTTTTGTTTGCTTTATCTCAGCAACCTGATCGTATAAACCTTTGATATTTCAAAATAAGCTTATCTTATGTAGAATAATTCATATCTTGAAATATCTAAGTTCTACAACATCGGGTTGCAAAGATATTGGTTTTATAAATTTAGAGTTGAGGAGAGAAATCAGCTTCTTTGATTTACACGACAAACCATAATATGAAAATAGGAGGAATAAACTTTTTCCGAGATTCCAGATTTCAAATGTCATAAATCATCATTAAAAAGGAACAACTCTTTTCAATTTGTATTATTCTCTTGTGGTACCAAGTGTCTTTTCTCAAGTAAGTGAACATTCTCTTAAAGGGACTGTTAAAGGAAAAATAAAAGGGGGTATAGGATGAAAACTGAGAATCTCAGGCGTTGAACGATACATATAAGACTTCTATCTGATGTTCCTGTCTCGAGAAATTGTTATAAAACTGTCAAATTTATACGAAAATATATGAATTTTCACATGTTCGATTCACAGCTTAAATCCTGAGACCACCCATGATCCAAGGATTTGAGAGTTATCCTTATTTAATGGCATTAAAATTGAGTAGCGGGTGCGGGAAACTAAAGTTCAAAGTGTACAGGGAAGTTTCCATCCTCAATTTTCAACTGTACAAACCAGGCCAAATATGTAATCGATCATCAGAGTTCAAACAAAGAATGAATGGTAACACTGTGAATCGGAATTGCCGCACCACAAATAGAGGATTATTATAAATAAAGCCTACAGTTACACTCTACAGTCCCTTGAAACATGGAATATTTGTCTCCAGCATATGAACGTTCTCAATACTATAAAAAAAACTTATTTTTACCTTCAACCTAATTACAGTAGTATTGGAAGTGTAGTTTAATAAATGTAAACTCAGTACACCTCTTAACTAATAACCCTTAAACTCTATGATTTTTAATTCAAACCTGGATACATGATTTTATAAAACTCGTTCTTGTTTTAGTTTTGCTGAATATATACAACCCTGGCGTCTAATTGTTAATAAACCTGAATATAGAAGGAAAAGTAAATACTGGAATAGGACAAAATGTTGAGGAATTAACACACAATAAATACAATTTTGGCCTTTCACTTGAACCAGACATCAATTGTGCCTGAAATATGCTTAGGAAAGTCAAGTAGGTTAGGCAGGAAATGTGTGCAAATAAGGTATACAATGTGAGTAGGTTATAAGGGAAAGGGGGCAGGAAATATGTACAAATAAGGTAAAAATGTGAGTAGGTGGGAAGGGGAGGGGGACAGGAAATACGTGCAAATAAGGTAGAAAATGTGAGTAGGTGGGATGGGAAGGGGGGCAGGAAATGTGTGCAAATAAGGTAGAAAATGTGAGTAGGTGGGAAGGGAAGGGGGGCAGGAAATGTGTATCTGTTAGGTAAAAAGTAAGAAAATATTTTTAAGTAATCCATGAAATAGATGGAACAATAACGTAGAGTTCAAGAAGGGAGTAATTAGTCTCTTTAAAGAAAAATTAGATCTGTAACATATTTGCAAAAAAAACATATTTTTCTAGCTCAGTTGAATTTTATCCTTATATCTGATTTATAACCCCCTAGTGTCCGAACCCCTACCACCCCTCACATAATTCAGTCTATTTCCATTTATATATTATTGTTGACACTATCACAGACAAAGCCGGTATTCCCTAATCATATCAATGATTCAGTTAGCAAAGAAAAGGAGCTATAGATCAGAAATAGAAGGAGGAGGAGGACCGTGGGGGGGGGGGGTCATGTTCTCTCCCCCTCAATATTTTATTTTGGCATACAGCAGACCTTTATAGAATACAATATTCCTTTTCCTTCACTGTCAGATGAAATCCTAGAGTTTTGATCAACATTTCTATATCACGGTGGACTAAGCCAGTGGGGTCGGTCAAATAGGCCTAGGATTAGGCCGGGTACTGTAAAAAGTCTTAACGCGCCATGGGAGTTGTCATAGTTAGCCCTCGCACGGGACTATGCCAAGAAAATTGACCCCTTTCGTATTTTAGTCTGGTTAGGGCGACGTACTGTACCATAGGATCGAGTCAGTACACGCTGTTATCTGGCAGGCCGGTACAAACTGGGCAGGTCCTGTTCGAATTCAAATTTACTACGGGGACAGAGTGATATTACAGACCTTTCAAACACAATTGAACTTTGTTATAAATAAACTAATTTTACTAAGTGTGCCTATCAACGAGTATGTTTGTCATGTGCATGGCCCACTTCGGGGGGGGGGGATTCTTTTTGGAAAAGCTAAAATTTTACAAGAAGGAAATGATTTATTTGGTATACCGTCCCGTTTTGCCTTATAAAGTCTGTAAATGTACTGAGTAAATGGACAGCTTGCTCTAGCTTCTTAAAAGTCTGCCAGGTATTTGAAATGAACCGGAGTTTACAATAATCAGATCTACTCGTAGATCTGCTGGGCTGATGTGAGAACCGTTCATTTTACAGATTTTTATACGCATAACGGTAAAATTTTTTTTAATGGGAAACTGAAAACTATAGGGTTCAAAAGATACTCTTAAAAGCGGTAAATAATTGTAGGAAAAATTTTAAACTAAATTAGATGCAGGCTTTTAAAAATTGCTTTCAGTCGTAATTCATCGTACAAAAACTTTTTAAAAATATTTCTTTATCATAGATAATAGAAGCTTATTTTAGATTTTCCAGTTCTGCTTTTCACACATTTTTACCTAGATCTCTCTTAAATATAGGGGGAAACTTGAGCTTGCACGACAGGCTCATGCTGACGGTCAAAATTAATATGAAACTCTCTCTAGGTGGTGGATCAGAATTCTACACACCAGCCCTTTATATCCACACTACGACTGTCCAGCATTTTAGAAGAAGAAGATGAAACCTCAAGTACAAATTCATGTTTGCTCAAACAAAAAATGGCAATTTTAATTCCTGTTCAAAGAGTTCAAATGTTCTCTTAAGTTCATCTTCTCATTTCTTCCCACAAAAGTTTTCCGCCGATTAAATAAAAGGAATTAAATCAACTATGCTTAATCTTTTAATCAAAATTGAAACAAAATTATATAAAAAACCTTGAAATATGTTTAATTCCCAAACGATGATAAGGGGACCCTGTATGTTTGCAACATATAGAACGCTAAGCTTAAACTGTTAATAAGAAATAAATATTTAAATATCAAACTTTTCCGATTAGCAATTATCCATCAATTGATGTGCAAAAGAAAATATTTCTCTTCCACAGTGAGGAGTTGAGAACGTATTTACTATAAGAAATTCACGATTTCCAAATTCAACTGAGTAGTACATGTCCTCAAATATTGATAAATCATAAAGTTTTTAAAACAAAATTTACATTTCTTAAAAGTGTTGATATTTACGGATAAAAATCAAAAATAGTGTTATTCCAGTTGCTGACCTATATATCCCTAGTGTATATTCCAGTTGCTGACCTATATATCCCTAGTGTAACAACGAAGTACATTCTGGCTGTATCGGAATATTTTCAATTATATTTTTATCTCTATTTCAAAATCCGCCAAAAATGACGCTAAAGACCTAATTAAATATTGCAAATACACCAACAAAAAATTATAATATAGCAATTACGAAAAAACTACATTTAATGGTTAAAAAGGAGTTCTAAATGTTCAGACTCAATGGACTTTTAACCAGGACCTCTAGTTTACCATGAAGGGGGAGATATCTTTACGAAACCTTCAGGTTAGAGGATTAAAAAATGATTAAAATGATTGAAATTATTAGTTTTATTTAAATAATATTATTAAGGATCTAGACTGTTATTAAAAGTTGTATAATTTTTAAGGAGTGGGTTTAGAATTTTGTAAAGAAATCAATGTTAGAATCAATTGTTTCTTAATCATAATTATACTGAATTTCTTATTCTTTATGAATTTGTTCGCAGATTTTTTCAAATCTTAAAATGTAGTCTTTTCAATGAAAATTCAAGGAAATCTACAGAAAACTTTTCCAAACATTGCAGAAACCGATAACTTAATAAGATTACTTATTTTTGATGATAAGAGTTAACTTTTATTTTCTCAACATGTTCCTAAACAACTAATTAGTAATTTATTGTAGAATTTATGTTACATTTATCGTCATCATAAGTATTTCATTTTGAAATGATATTAGTGGAAAATATTTAAAAAAAACTAGGGTTTTTACAAAAAACGTGATTGTAATTTTCACAAAAAGTATTGAATCTTTTTGCCCTCAGTGAAATGTTTAAGCCATACGAACATGGCTTAGTTGTTATTCTTATTCTGATAGTTGAGGAATTATGTGAATAATTATATTCTGATAGTTGAGGAATTATGTGAATTATTATAATCTGATAGTAATTATGTGTATTTTCAAGAGAATTGAGTCTTTGACACAAGCTTAATTCTTTTAATCCTTAAATAATACAATAATCTTTGCATGTCTTGCGCTTGATATATCAACAGCTTTCTTGTTGGAAATATCAAAGGTTTACACCATCAGGCTGAAAACATATAGGGATTAGAAAATCAGAGTTTGTAACAAAAACTCTGTTTCTTTGTGTAGAGAATTTATTTCATGACTTTAAAGTACAATTAATCAACATTCTTGAGATTTATAAATTTCACCACACAATGACACAACATGAAATAAACATGAAACAGCTTTATAAAAACTCAACAATATTTGTTTTAAACAAAACGTTTGGTCTAGATTTTAGCAGAAAATACAGTGTGTATAAAAACGGAGGAATTAAATGGTTTACTTCTTTTGTCATAAATGAAAAAAGAACTATTCATTTTAGAACGTATTTGATAAATTGAAATAAAAATTAAGAACAAATTTCCGATTTCTTAAAAAACATTTGAAATTTTAAAAAGTTTTGTATAAACCAGATTGACCTAGATGCATAATTGAATGCTGCGTAGACCAAAGACGATCGAAATATAGGAATTAATTTCCTTGATTATTCCCCAGATGTTGCATGCAAGATAAATTATTCATATTTTTTTTTATTTTTATCAGAATTTTACCTTTTTAATCAAACTGAGTGAATTGGTTGTTTACAGTAACCATCAAGTTCATTTTATCCCTAATATTGAATTTTAAAATATTCTAAATACAATAAAATACTTAAATACAATAAAAATACTTAAATACACTAAAAATATTCTAAATACAACAAGAATCTTTTAAGAAACATTTTTTCTTTTGGACTGTTGTAATATTCTTTTTGAACAATTCTGGGTGATTTTCCAGATGATATATTTTTTAGAATACTCCTTTGAACTCTAATTTTGTAATCCTTATATCTTTGCAACCTGAAGTGGTTGATATTTCAAGCTATAAATTCGATTTTAGATCAATTAGTCTAAAATATCAAAGGTTTACGCCATCAAGTTGCAAGAATATAGAGATAAGATATTTGGTGGTATGGCTGTGGCGATTAATAAGACATTTATAATGCCGTCACTTTAATATCAGTAAAGCGAAATTTTTTTTTTTTAAATAAAAAAAAAATATATATATGAAAAATGAAATATTAATCGACCCATCCTACTTAGTAACAAGTTGTTTACAATTAAAAAAATGAATACAAACCAAGTTTTAATATTTCAAAAATTTTATATTTTGGAATAAAAAAGGAAAATAATCTGATTGGAATTCTTGTTCATAAAAAAATGTTATTTAATCATAATCGAGAATTTGTTAAGGGCAATATTTGTAAAAAAAACTCTTAAAATTTCCTAAAAAAAAATAAAAACTTGTATCACAGTGAACAATGAACAATGTCAAACAAAAATTTGCATACTAAATAATAATTAAAATCATTTGTATTTGCGGGGAAACCCGAAAATATGTTCCTGTAGAGATCTTAGAGAAAAAGACCGAAAATTATTACTGACGGGAAAACAAGGGGGTTTCTATAGATTAATTGAGACCCAATTCTTTATTAGAACTGATTATCAAAACCTTGAACCTTAACCCTGAGTATATTCAAACCTCAACCTCCTGCTTTCCACACTACCCGGAGCAACTAATCCCTGTTACTTAGAAATCACCACCAACACTTCAAAAGGGGTGTCTGGGTCGTGATGACTGGGAGGGGGGACAGGGGGGTTATGGTCTGATAAGAAAACCCTATTTAGAATTGTTGGATATGATTGAAGAGACTGGAGATGTAATTCAAAATGAATCTTTATTCAAACCCTTCAAATCTTTATCTTAGCAAAAATGATAAAGTTAAAACTAATTATTTTAAAAGTGTCGGTGACGTGTGGAATTATGCAATTGAAAAAAATGGTTAATCGGACATTGTCATCTTAGCATAAAGGTGCATTTGAAATTACGTTCACTAAACTAAACTAAACCCAGAGAGGGGGCGGAAACGTCATGGTGGTGTGTCTGTACCAAAAGAGTGTGTGTGTGATAAGTAACCAAATAGTGTACTGTCGGTTTATACAGTACAGAAAAATCTCGGTATTTGTACAGTCTAGGAGAGTACATTTGTTTATTGTTAATTGTTATAAGCCAAATTTTCATGCAAAAAATATAATTTTATTAAAGTTTACAATAAACTACTCGTTATTTAGGCTTAATTATAATTGACGACATTGTTCTGCACCTTCCTTGGTTGTAGTCATGTGCCAAACCAGCGCCATTTACATTCCCTTTATTTTTGTTCCCTGACTAAACCTCGCTTTAGAAAGAATACAACATCAAACAAAAGAAATATATTTAAACAGCTGAACATAGTGTATGTATAGTTGAGAATAAATAGTAATCATTCATTAACAAAACCATTCATTTTTTACAACTGATTATATAGCTTTCGCTGTCTGGAAAGTCTGAGAATGAATAAAAATACTTTTGAAAATATTCTCACACACTTTTAGATTTAAATTGGCTATGATTTTTTTTTACTTTTCCATGTTTATCCTGAATTGAATAATCAGATAATTGTGTTTTTCTCTTTCAAACCCAGAGGCTTTAAATGAGTTATTAATAAACCAATAATACATTTTATATTCAAACTTATAATAATTAGATACTATTAAGTTCTTTTTAAATTGGAAGAGCTACTTTTCAGCGGATATTGAATTTTCTGTGCAATAGAAATTAAACAATTACATTTGTAGCCGAATAGCCAAGGTTAGCTTAAGTTTAGACAAATCCTGGCCGAGCGCTGCGCTTAGGACAAGAGAAGGGACCACCCTATGTCTTACACTAAATAATTTTGAGATTGCACAGATGACCCAAACATTAAAGGGATTGTAAACATAATTTCAAGTGATCCTTTATTTTTATAGCTTTTTAAAGGAATCATATTTGAAAACAATTAAAATAGATCGTTCTTGAGCATACAAAGGTTGGCACGGGCAGCCGTAGTTCATTTGAATTTCCGAGCCGGGTCAACCTTTCCAGTCCCAGTTTGTACTGTATCGCCCGGACATTGGGTAAATAAAACAGACACTCACTAGGACTAGCCGGTGCAACAAGGTTGACACGATCAGAATTTAGGTTGAATTTACTTTTACTAAAGGGTCAGATGTGCGTGTTGGTAACTTTTGATTCGATCATGCCACTCTATAGACAGAAAGTCACTTGAAATTACTTGTACAGTTCCTTTAAAGTACTTTTAGGTTGTTGTAAAATAAAGAAGCTAAAAATATATAAATTAGTCTGAAAACATAATTTGCTTCTTACTGAAAAAAGTTCGTAAACTTGTATGAATTGTTCCTTTGTCCTTGAAAGTGAATAGACTGAACAGAAAAATGGCGGTGTTGAAATTATTTCTGCTTCTCTGCGTATAATTGTTTTTTTTTGTTTATCATTTTCTGAGCAAATATGCATTATATTCCTCCATAATACTAGACTTGGAACTTATTTTCCAGATATCCTAATATACTAGGATATCTGGTAAATAAGTCTAATATGGAAATAGATGAGAATTGAGTTATACAATAATAACAAGACAAAGGTTGCTAAAATTACACAAAACATTTGTTTAAATGTGATTATTAAAATTTGTTCAGTTAAATTTCATCCATTTTTAGTGGGCTTAAATTAGAGAGATTTGTTTTTTTTCCCATGGGACATGATCGGGTTATAACGATCACATTTTTGAATTTTTCTATAGCAAAAGTCTGTTTTTTTTATCTAACAGGGGTTTTTATCTGGTAGCACATTTATCCGTCCACGCTTCATTTATTCTGAGAAGAGGGTTGACTAGAATCCAGCTGCCTTAGGACTGCTTAGACCTGAGAATAGTAGAGTACAGGAATTGTTCTAATATACTGGAATGAGGCCCGATTGCCTTTTAGACGGGAAACATCTCACTCATGGCTCCAAATCATATGTAAGCCCGGATTGGATACCCCCAGGTACCTATTGCTGGCAACCAAAGACTCTCCCTGCTTGTTTGGACTCTTCCTGCTTGCCATAGATGCTCCCTGCTTGTCATAGAGTCTCCCTGCTAGTCATAGACTCTATCTGCTAGTCATAGACTCTCCCTGCTAGTCATATACTCTCCCTGCTAGTCATAGACTCTCCCTGCTTTCCATAGACTCTCCCTGCTTGCCATAGACTCTACCTGCTTGTCATAGACTCTCCCTGCTTGCCATAGACTCTACCTGCTTGTCATAGAGTTTCCTTGCTTGAACTCTAAAATAAAAACTTTAAGTTTGTTCCTTTCTTTCTTTTACCTTTTTGAAACCAGTTCTGCCTTGAATAAAGTTCGTTTTTTTAATATTTGAAGAGGAAAAAATATGGCTGCAGAGTATAATAAATGTAAATAAAAAGTAAGCTATGCACGTCTCACCCTGTTGATAAAAACATATGCTGATTCATTGTATTTTTATTTTTACATGTATTTATCTAAGTTTAGAAGATATATTTAAACTGCCATATCTACAGTTGGAACTGGATCTGTCTGTGTGGACGCATCCTTGTATCCAGGTCTAGCATCAACCCCTACTCCTATACTTTTCCAATCAGCTCCATCCACCGCCTAGATACAGATACAGATACAGATACAGATACAGATACAGATACAGATACAGATACAGATACAGATACAGATAAAGATAAAGATACAGATACAGATACAGATACAGATACAGATACAGATACAGATACAGATACAGATACAGATACAGATACAGATTTACAGATATACATATAAACAGATATACAGATATACAGATGTACAGATATACAGATATACAGATATACAGATATACAGATACAGATAAAGATACAGATGCGGATACATATATATATATATATATATACAGATACAGATACAAATGATAAATATATTCCTACCTCTGCTATGGTTTCTTCTATTTTTGATCTCCTGGCCGGTCTGCTCTGTTGACCAGCATATTGTTGCTGGTCCTCAGTATCTAATGTTTTTCGTCTTCGTCGTACCGGAGCCGGACCCGGAGCCTCTTCCGTCTTCTCCGAGGTTTGGGGAGGTTGAGGAGAGGGGGATTTTCTAGGAGGCGTCACCGGAATTTGTCCCGGAGATTCCGGAAGAGGAGCAATATATTCAGGAGGGGAAGGTTCCGGAAAAGTAAGTTCTTGAGCTTTCTCCGGGATTCTCGGTGGGGTTGTAATCTTTAGGGTCGGTAGAGTAGGAGAGGGAGAACTGTCCATTGGAGAAACTGACTCCGATTTTTCCACTGATAACTTTCTATCCCTGAGAAATAAATAACAAATCACAATCAAATGGTCTTAAATGCTTCTTAATTAAATGCTTTATTTTCTTTAGATCTTTATGAATGCAACCACGGACTTTTTAACCTTTATTATGAGGGTGCGAGGCTGGAGGGGGGAGGTGATCTTTTAAAGAAAATGTTAATAGATATGTTTAAACGTTAAAAATGTTCACCTCAATAGCTTTTCTCGTTTCCATCTTGGCAGTTTTTTAAGCTCCGGATCCATCAGAGTCGGAGAATCTGTCGGACTAAGATCCAGAGAAGTTTTTTTCTCTCCCGCTATACTCGCCGGAGACTCCGGAGTATCAACAGATTTAGATTGTTTAGCCTTGTCTAGTTTCCATTTAGGTATTTTTATACCATTCTCATTTCCATTTTCTATAATCTCTATTCCGTTAATTGATTTTTTGCGATCATTTCCGATCAGAATTGGACTTTCTGTTGTTTTGGATAAGGAAGGACTAGGCGTTTTCTCCGGGTCTGTTTTCATACTGGAGATCTTGGATTCAACTGCGTTTTGCAGATTTAACATTCTTTCCTTCTCTTCTTGAAATCTTTTAATTCGTTCTTCTTCCTTCTTCTTCTGTTGCTCTATTCTTTCCTGGATTGTTAAAGATTTGTTTGCTGCATCAACTCTTCTATTTTTCAAGGTTATCTGAGAAAACTTTTCTTCTTTCTTCTCTTCCTTCTTTTCTATCTTCTTCTCTTCTTTCTTCTCTTCCCCTTTATCCTCCTTTTTAGATTCTGAAATAGATTTGCCCAAAAGAGAAGATTCGTGATTAGTTTTATCTGAACCATGAGTTTTATCCTCTGTGTCTGGCTGTGCTGTGATTTCTGGTTGTTTGAGCTTCATTAGATTTTGCTCTTCCTTCACTTTTCGTATCATTTCCTCAGCCTCTCGTTGTATTCTTTCCATCCTTTCCCGTTCTACGCTTATCTTTCGCTTTCTCTCCTCTTCTGCTTTCTTTTCTTCCTCTTCATTCAGAGAATTTAAAACTGGGGTTTCCGGTTCCTTAAAGTTCATTCCTGACAATCTTTTATTCCGTTCTTCTTCAAGTCTCTTCTTTTCGTCCTGTGCCCATTTTATCTCTTCGTTTATGGCGTTTTCAAGTTCTTTAATCTCTCTCTCCTCCTGCTCTTTCAGCGCCTTGGCATCTAACTTTGGCGGAGGTTTGATTAATGAGAGGAAATTCATACTGTCCTTTTTAATTTCCTCCTTCTTAGCTTTCACTTTAACTGGTTCTTGTTTCTCTGGTTTAGAAATAGGTTCTGAAAGTTTAGTTTGAGGGTTTTCTTCTTTAAGTTTAGGATTAGCTAACTGCTCTGCTTCCCGCTTCTGCTGGAGAGCCCAGAGTATTTCTTCGTTCATTCGCTCCGCTAACTCTGTATCCTCCGAACCTTCAATCTTCAGAGGTTTCTCCGTTATGCCATTCATCTCGTGCTTCTTTAGTAAACTCTCAAAGAAGTCACTGGAACTAAAATCTTCAACCTTTCTTTCCTCTGGAGTTTCTTGTTTTCTATTCTGTTTCCACATTGCTCGGATTTCTGCTACTGAAGGTTCGTTTTCTTCAGATTTTGTCTCAATTTCAGGGATCTCTGGTTTTCCAGCTTCTCCATTTGTTTTTGGTTTCTCCGTCTTGAAATCTTTAGCAGGTTCATCATATTCATATTCAATATCATCAAAGCATGGCTTCTCTGGTTTAGAAACCTTTTCCGGAGCTCTTTCTAATTTTAAACCCTCCATGATAACATCCTTTTCCTTTCCATTCTTCTGCGCTTCTTTATAGATATCATTCATTCTTTGCTGGAAGGTGGAGAGTTCAGTTTTTATGACAGGTTTCTGAATTGGGATCTCCGGAGGAGGAGCAGGTTTCTTTTTAGGTCTAAATACAACACTGTAAAGGTTTGTGAACTCCTGGATAATCTCCTCTGGGACAGGAGTTCTAATCTTCCTGTTGCACTCCAGCTGCTCCCGGATACACTTGATCCCGGTATCTCGTCCTGTCGTGATGCTTGTTCCATGCAGATCTCTCTCCTTCTTCAGCAATAGTTCCACAATACTCTCCTGTCTCTCAACCTGCCTTCGGGATCCTCTTTCTCCTATGGAATCATGCTTCAGCTTAAAGTTGGCAAGTTGTCTCTCCGCTGTTGATTTTGCTATAAGAGCAAGGACTAGTGAACTGCTTCCATTTTTATCCGTAGGATGGATATCCATGACAATATCATCTAGTTTAGAATTCTTTAGTAGGTGGAGGACGAGGTTCCACTTCTCCAGGGAGCAAAGGAGTAGGAGAACATTCATACCTTGTTTATCCTTCTGGTCTATACATACGCTTAGATCTAGAGAATCAATAAACTTGATTGAAACTGATTCTTCCAAGTGCTTAACCACGAGCATGAAGAGGTTCAACCCAGCCTGGTTCTGTACTGAGAGAAGTATACTAGCATCCATAGCTTGATTAACCTGCTGGAGCCAGGAGATGATTATATCAGGTTTACCAGCTAGTGCAGCGGTCATCGGAGCAGTGTTCCCGTCCTCGTCACGTATTACTGGATCTTTATCCGGTCTGGAGAAGAGAAGGTTCCAAAACACTGTGTTTCCCCGTTCTGCCGCTAGGTGAAGTATTGTTTTCCCATTCCGATCTCGTACACTCAGATCCAATAAATCCTTAAAATATTCAGAAGCTTCAGAATTACTTTTATCAACATTAGACAGGATAAATAAGCTTCCTTCCTCGATATTCACAATACAAGAGTTACAAGCTCAAGTTGCAAAGATATAGGGATTAGGAAATCTTAGTTTATGTGAGACATCTGCAAACCAGTTTCAACAAAAAAAATAATTTATGTTGCTTTTACAACTTTGCGACCTCATAAGCACTCTGTTTTCATTTTACACCCAAGAGTCCCACTCTTATTTATTTACTCTTATATATATTTTACACCCTAGAGTCCCATTCTTATTTATATACTCTTATATATATTTTACACCCAAGAGTCCCGCTCTTATTTATATACTCTTATATATATTTTACACCCAAGAGTCCGATTCTTATTTATATACTCTTATATATATTTCACACCCTAGAGTCCCACTCTTATTTATATACTCTTATATATATTTTACACCCAAGAGTCCCGCTCTTATTTATATACTCTTATATATATTTCACATCCAAGAGTCCCACTCTTATTTATTTACTCTTATATATATTTCACATCCAAGAGTCCCACTCTTATTTATATACTCTTATATATATTTCACACCCAAGAGTCCCGCTCTTATTTATATACTCTTATCTATATTTCACACCCTAGAGTCCGATTCTTATTTATATACTCTTATATATATATTTCACACCCTGGAGTCCCACTCTTATTTATATACTCTTATATATATTTTATGCTTTAGTATACTATGTATGACAGTCTAAAACATATTATTGATTGATAACAATATGGTTTCTGAAAAAATTCTAAAATATAAATACCTTAGCTATTGGATGATTGAAAATCGCTTTTGCAATATCATTGTTTCCCAGTTTTAGGCAATACATGATAGGGTTGAGGTCATTGACGTCGAAAGCATTAAGAAGCTGGGTTGACCGGAGGTCCCTGGCCAGCAGGTTTAGGGTCAACAGCACATTATGCTTGTCATTATTTATCACTAAACAAGGAAAATATTAAACATTTTTTTGGACTTTTCTTGTCAATTTAAGATTGATATATTAAACATTTTATTTTAGATTTTTACTTATTTAGAAAACTCAAGTAAAAAATCTAAAATTATCAGGATGATATGTATTTGCGCAAATAAAATCTAAATTTACACAAAAATTTTAGAAAGGGGTTGTTTATTTTAAAAAAATACACACAACACCCCGTATTGACGAATTAAGAGCGGTCCCTTTAAATATGTTAAATAAGTTAACCTAAGTAGTGGAGAACATTTTTCCCATATTGGTTCTGTACAGAGAGATCGAATAGAGATCTTTCATTTGCTGCTTTACTTGACAGTAATCGTCTGAAAATAAAGATAGCTAGGTTATATTCCTTTGTGGTGAGGTTCTTTGGACTTTGATTTATAACCCTTTTTATTCTAAAGGGCATCTGATCATAATTTTACCTACGTGGACTCTTATGGAAAATAAATATTTTAGACAAGATTTACAGATTTTAGATCAAATTCCCATCCTTTGGGTAAACTTTAGATCTAAAAAATTATTTTTAATCAATTTATACATTTTACAGATCTAATTTCTATAGATCAAAATACTTTTAGATCAAATTACAAACCTGACAGTATCCCTACTGTTCCTAAGTGCACACTGAACTAAGGGAGTGTTCCCCTTTTTATCAACAGCGTTCACAATTCCTGATGTTAGATCCTTCCTGGACAAATATCAAATCTTTAACAATCTCAGATGGTTTATTTTAATTTTTGTGAATATATTATTTCTCCCCTCCTTAACTCTCTGTATTTTCATAAAAAATATTCATGTTATTTGAACACAATTTTATTTAATTTTATAGCCTTTAAAAGGGAATTATTAAGATGAAAGCAAATTTGAGTTAGAAATAAGCAAACAGTAAAACTTTACAGTTACAATTTGATAAGCTCCCCCCCCCCCCTCATTTAAAAAAATCAATTATTTCAGTATTTAATTTTATCGTGATATTTAACTGCTATAAAAAGTTTTAAAGTCATTTCTCAGTAAAGAATAGACCTCAAAGTTCAAAGTTCAAAGTTTGAGGATTGTGTTTAATTTATAACTGAAAATAAATTGATACTTTACCGATTTTTACCATAATTTTTGAGCTAGTAAGTATGTATGTTTCAAAATACCAGTTGGGGCACAGGCCTGTTTAGCCGGTCAGGGCAGTACGGGTAGGGGGCTTAAACCATGTGACTTTTAAAGATGGAGGTGAGCCAGTAAATGGGAGGGGTGCGGAGAGTCCCTTATTTTATGTTTTTGATATTATCTTTCCTTTTGAGCAAACATTTAGGATGCGTGAGAGGAGAAAACTGGAAAAGGAGATGAGGAATAGTTAAACAACTGTCCTTGATGATATCAGACTGAAGATAGATCGACTTCTTGGCGATCCTGTGCTGGAAATACGCCTCAATGATTGCTGTCTGTCCGTTGATGATCGCCAGAGAGAGTGGAGTTAGACCTTCAGTTGTAGAGAGGGAGAGGAGATTACGTCCCTGAAACAAAAATAAAATAAATTTTCAAATTCAAATTTAAAGAGTTATATGGCCGATTCACAAAGGTACCCTTTGAACCTTTGCTCTGAGTAACAATGTAGCAGATATCGTCGTTTTCTGTCTTAAAAAGAAATCAATTCTTTCCATTTCCTTTTTTGCCTCTGCTGTTTAAATTCAAAAGTACATATTTTAAAGACCACAATCGAGTTTTATTTCTAATAGAAAAAAAGTCTTTATAAATTTTGCACAGGTTCTGCACACTTTATTTTCTTCATTTATTTTTTCATTATGGAACAGCAATTAATTTTTTAATAATTGATTCTTTAGAATTCTTTTTTTTATGGTCTGTTAATAAATAGGGAATTATTTTTCATTTAAGGTTTTGCATTAATGTTTCAGAACCTTGTGTGCAAAATAACAAATTGATCCTAATTTCGGAGGAAAATAATAATTATAAAGATTTTAGAATTTTCTTTAAATCAATTTTTATTGCAAACTCTGGGAGCAATGTAAACAAACTTTGCGGAGCACAGGCTGAGGTTTGTTTAAGTTCCTCCAAGAATCTGGAGTACACTTTGTTTATCAAGAAATACATAAAGGTTCCTGGTGTTTCTTTCTTGGTTTTTAAATTGCAGTTTCTAAAACTTTTCATTTTAACACCTCACAAAAATAATGACCAAAATGGTATTTTGAGTTTTGAAGAAAGAATTCCTTTTTAATAAGATCAATTATCACAAGTATTAAACAGTTTAATTTTGGTCGGTTGTTCTTATTTTCACGGGAGTCACGTGACAAACTTGTATCCTTGAGTTCCTTTCAACTATTCTATTTTAAGATTACTGTGATTGTTTCTCTTTAATGGATTCAATATAAACATTTTTTACCTTGACGTCATTACAGAATGCATTGAACAGGTTCAGGTTCCCAGTCCAGCTTGCTATATGGAGGAGGGTTACTCCGTCCTAGAATAAAATGGAGTAGGGTTACTCCGTCCTTCAATATAATGGAGCAGGGTTTCTCCGTCCTAGAATATAATGGAGCAGGGTTACTCCGCCCTACAATATAATGGAGCAGGGTTTCTCCGCCCTAGAATATAATGGAGCAGGGTTACTCCGTCCTTCAATATAATGGAGCAGGGTTTCTCCGTCCTACAATATAATGGAGCAGGGTTTCTCCGTCCTTGAATATAATGGAGCAGGGTTACTCCGTCCTACAATATAAAGGAGCAGGGTTTCTCCGTCCTAGAATATAATGGAGCAGGGTTACTCCGTCCTAAAATATAAAGGAGCAGGGTTTCTCCGTCCTAGAATATAATGGAGCAGGGTTACTCCGTCCTACAATATAATGGAGCAGGGTTTCTCCATCCTAGAATATAATAAAGCAAGGTTACCCCTTCCGAGAATATAATGGAGCAGGGTTACTTCATTCTAGAATATAATAGAACAGGGTTACCCCGTCCTAGAATGTAATGTAGCAGGGTATCCTAGAATATAATGGAGCAGGGTTACTCCGTCCTAGAATATAACAAAGAATGGTTGCTCCATCCTATTACTGCAATATTTCTAATTGTCAGATTCTGGGAAAAGAAAATGATTAAAAGAAACAAAAAACTTGAGAGCTGAACAGAAGAAATACTTTAGCATAATCCTTTAAATCCACCTTAGCTCTCCATTCTATGTGCTCGTCCCATAGGATAATACAGTCGTCCTTAAGACTAGAGATGAGAAGGTCGGACCACTGGGAAGGAAATTCAGGACGATATCTTCGACGTGGACTGAAAAAAGACAATAAATTGTTTTCTTTTTATAAAGCTTTATAATTTAATATGACGACAAATGAGAAGTGAAGTCTTGTCGTGGATTTGGTAATTATCAGCTTAACTAATTCATGAAAAGTGTCCTGGGACCGAATTTAATAAATTTGAGCTACGTCGCTGAATTATCTACTGCCAGTAAGAAATTTGAACCACCGATTCAAAGTTAAAGATTCAGGAAGGATTTGAATAGCTGATTTAAATTTGAACCGGCGGAAGGCAGATCAGCGACACTGTATACCCATTTAAATCGATAACATTTTTTATCCGTTCCAACAATTGCATATTACAAAATCCTCAACTACGAAGTAATAATGACGACATTTATTTAGTTTTCACTCTGTGCAAACCTTGAAATTATATCCGCAGTCGAAAAATGTCTATATTCTTTAGCAACATCCTCTGCAGTTCTTCCATCCTCATCCTCTAAATCAGGGTCTGCTCCAGACTAGAGATAGATTAGATAAAAGAAACTACAGGGTGTCCCAAGAAATATGACAGTAGCAAGATCTAAGAATTTATTTGTGATATTCAGTCGTCAACCTACTTTACACGTAAGATTCTTGAAAGAATAACCACACAATTCTCCAAGACCTGGGATTTCCAAAATGCGGCCTGCCTTTTTTGTACTGTCAATATTACCGGAGATATTAAGAATTGTGTTCAGATTTAAATTTTATTAAGTAAGACTAAAATTGTCGAAATCTTAAGGAAATTCTTCATATTTCCGGTAATATTGAAAGCACAAAAAGGCTGACAATATTTTGGATATACCAAGACTAGGTGTATTTTATGATTATTGATTTTAGAATTCTACTTCTAAAATAGGTTCACGGATAAATATTGCAAATTATTTTAAAGATCAAAGACGACCTTCAACTTGCAGGGGCGGATCCAGCTCTTTGAAAAGGGTGGGTCAANAGGAGGGGGTACAGGGAGGTGGAGTCCCATGCAATTTTTTTTTAAGGAATTCGCATTGAGAGTGAATATTTTAGATGCGCAAAATAGGAAATTACTGTTAAAATATGTAAAAATAATGCCACCTTAGTTGGAATTGTATTTTCAAATTTTTCACTATATATATCTCAGGGAAGACAAATGTATAAAAGGATACCAAGGATAGGTCGAGGATTTCTCATTCTAAAATCAAAAATGGCTCCCTCAAATTAGGGTTTTAAATAAAACATGTAAAAAAAACACTAGTTTAAGTAAAAATCAAATTTTTAAAATCATTTTGATAAGGGTAGCAATAAAATATGCTTAAAAAACAGGGTTCAAAACAATAAAAATTGAAAATTCAACAAGCTATGGTCCAATTTTTTTTCTATATCTAAATTTTTTTAGTAATCAAAAAGTGTTTTTTTTTTATTTTTTAGTATTTTTATATTCTGTAATTTGATTTGAATTTGAATTCGGGAAAACAACCCAGTTTCTATTTCGCGAAAAAATGCAAAATTTTTCGCTAAATAAGAAATGTGAAAATTTCCCGAAAAAATGCTCTCAGAGCAGAGAATTCCACAAGTTTTTTGAGCAACTAACTGTTTGAGGTTACAAATTATGTTTAGCTAAAATTGTTTTCGCAAAATTCAGCATTTTCTTGAATTTTTTCGTTTAATTCATTTTCGCGAAAAAATGCGAAATTTCGTTCGCTGGAAACCCTAACTTCAACTCATTTCAGGGAGCCATTTCATGGAGCCATTTCTGATTTTTGTAAAAATTGCATTTTTGAAACATTCCAAGCAGAATATATTTTTGCTTCTGTAAAATGATTTCTAAAAAGTGTCACAAAATTTCACACCCTTACTATCATTTTGGTGTTGCTGTAATGTTACTAAAAACTATTATGCAATTCTGAAATCATAATAAACTTAAGTTTTAAAATAGGAAATAATCATATTCAATTACTTAACAGCTTTGGTTAAAACTTCAAATCCATCGGATTGATGAAAAGTGAAAGTATCAATCAAATTAAGAAATTTTTTGGTCAAAGCACCTAAAACTGAAACTTAAACTTTTAAGTTAGTCTTATAGATAAGGGGGGGTCAAAAGATGCTCTTGACCCATCCTTTTTTCAAAACGGGGGGGGCTTTGACCCCCTTGCCCCCCCCCCCCCTCAGTATCCGCGCCTGACTTCAAGTCGTATTTGTCGTATTTCTACTGTCATGGTTCGTGGGAATACCCTGTGGAGAAATCCAGACTATACATAAGACAGAATTATTTATTACTAATATTACTATTATCATTATTATCAACTATACCTGCAGTAAGATATTTGCAACCTGTGTACGCCCTAGCATTGCACAGATGAATAGTGGAGACCACTGATCAGCCTTTCTTTGTACATTTGGGTTTGCTCCTGAACAATTTTAGAGCTTTTAAAACTTTAAAAGCTTTAAATCAACCAAAGTTAAAAACTCTCCTAAATTTATTATTACTACTCTACTAGCAATCAATTTATATAGCTTGTTATTAACATGTTTTACGAGCCAGGAATCTGATTTCAAATACAAAATGCTTGTCTTTACCTGCTCTTAGAAGGATAGGAACTATATCCTCTGCTAGTTGATGGCTGACCGCGTAGAAGAGTGGAGTTTGTCCGGCCTGATCAATATCTGTGTGCGGAGCTCCAAGCTCTAGTAGGACCCTGATAACCTCACGAACTGCAAACTTCTCCCAGCTCCTCTCTACCATCTTTGTTGCACAGGCCTGTAACAGTTAAAAACATGTAGATACTACAGTGGAACCAGAAAACCGTGGAATAGGAAGACGACATTATAAACATGAAACAAGTGTATTTGATGTTGTTACGAGCGGTTTACCAGTAGCTTATTAACTCGCTTATTAGTTAAAATTGACCTGTTTACAAATTTACAATTTCTGTGTTTCATGGTCATTGGACTATATAAAGTCATAACTTGAGTCTAAAAATCGTATTCCTATTTCAGAGTTTTCTGGATGTCACTGTACTTAAAGTAAAAAGATGAGAACTTCAGATCCAATAAAGTACTTCGGATAAAGATGAGTACTCTAGGTACCATAAACTACCTGGAGTATGAAGATGAGTACTCTAGGTACCATAAACTACCTGGAGTACGAAGATGAGTACTCTAGGTACCATAAACTACCTGGAGTATGAAGATGAGTACTCTAGGTACCATAAACTACCTAGAGTATGAAGATGAGTACTCTAGGTACCATAAACTACCTGGAGTATGAAGATGAGTACTCTAGGTACCATAAACTACCTAGAGTATGAAGATGAGTACTCTAGGTACCATAAACTACCTGGAGTATGAAGATGAGTACTCTAGGTACCATAAACTACCTAGAGTATGAAGATGAGTACTCTAGGTACCATAAACTACCTGGAGTATGAAGATAAGTACTCTAGGTACCATAAACTACCTGGAGTATGAAGATGAGTACTCTAGGTACCATAAACTACCTGGAGTATGAAGATGAGTACTCTAGGTACCATAAACTACCTGGAGTATGAAGATGAGTACTCTAGGTACCATAAACTACCTGGAGTATGAAGATGAGTACTCTAGGTACCATAAACTACCTGGAGTATGAAGATGAGTACTCTAGGTACCATAAACTACCTGGAGTATGAAGATGAGTACTCTAGGTACCATAAACTACCTGGAGTATGAAGATGAGTACTCTAGGTACCATAAACTACCTGGAGTATGAAGATGAGTACTCTAGTTACCATAAACTACCTGGAGTATGAAGATGAGTACTCTAGTTACCATAAACTACCTGGAGTACGAAGATGAGTACTCCAGGTACCAAGAAGTACCTGAAGTATGAAGATGAGTACTCTAGGTACCATAAACTACCTGGAGTATGAAGATGAGTACTCCAGGTACCAAGAAGTACCTGGAGTATGAAGATGAGTACTCCAGGTACCCTGAACTACCTGATGAAGTATACTGATATCCGTCCCGTTAAGTTTCCTGCCAAAATGAAACCTAGCATCTGATGCTGGAGTTAGAAGTTTCTCCAGTTCCTCCAGGTTCAGCTGCTCCACGGCAGCGTGAACAGGAAACCTCTTGGACAGAACAAACTTGGGATGAATCCCGTCCATTCTCTCTTTGGATACAAATATACATAGATGTCACTTTCTAGATAGTAGATTTTAATATACATTAAAGCATAACTTTATTGTTATTTTTGTCTTGAAATTTGAAACTTTATGATTTTACTTTTTATGCATTTTGTATTTCATAAATCGTATAATATTTGTCAGAAAACGACCTTCTGAGGAGTCTAAGCCACCAAAACAGTATTTAAAATTTAATTTTCATTTCTGTTACGGTTTCCACCTCAATAGCTAACATCCATAAATATATATTTTGAAGCTTGACTCTATATATATATATATATGATATTCTTCGGTTAAACAGTTAGAGCCGGTATAATTTTAATCCCGACCCATTTTTAACCCATCTATAATTGGTCAAAGCTCAGAGATTCAAACAAATTTTAGAATTTGACCATCAGGAAATCTTGATTATAATAATAATAATAATAATAATAATAATAATGATAATAATGTATTTTGACATTTCAAATTTATATTATTTTTTTTTACATTTTGTGTTTACATTTAGCCCTGATACATACAAAATGATATATGGATAAATAGAAAAGGATTAAATCAAACAAATTATCACTTTCATCTAGGTCAAAATTATGCGGAATTAGTAAACATAAAATTATGAGCCTCTTGTGTTAAAGATAACCTATATAAGTCATATGATTCGCCAAATCTTGAAATCTCACGCTATAAAGTTACAATAACAGATTTCACTTTAATACAAACAATTGACTAAAAAAAATCAGGAAGTGTAAAACTTGCTAGGGTTGAACCGATTGTTGAACTACTCACTTATAAGAATATATAATAAGAGAAAGTGTTCAAAAATTACGTTTTGACTCAATTATTTTTTTTGAAATTGTCCAGCCATTTAGTTTAATTTGTAAACCTTTCTGTTGATAAAATTTCATTTTGGACTAAAGAAAAATCTACGTAATATATGAAAATAAAGGAAAGCTGATACAATGCCTCTTCCCCCCGGCACACATCAAGCCGGTCATTATAGGTCACCAGACATGTCTCAGGGGTTTATGTACACTCTTTGTTCTGACAGGACTAATAGGTTACCGCACACTCTTTGTTCTAACCGTACTACTCGAAATGTAAGAAATTTGACGAGGACTTTACGAATAACAAATTAAAGAAAGAAATTTATCAATTTCTGTGTTAAACTGTGTAAAAATTCAATAGTTTTTGGTCAACAAAACAACACTATTCAAACTCACTGAAGTGTATTTTTAAACTGTTTCACAAACAAATTCGCCGACAATAAAGTATAAAAGAGAAAAGTTTATTGGGTCAAGTTTATAGTAATATAGAAAGACGACATTAAAGCAAATATTTAGTGTATTTGATGTTGTTACAAAGAAAATTTTTTCACAATTAACTTATTAAATTGTTAAACCGTTTTTTGAATTAAATAGGTCTGTTTGCACTGTACAATTGTTGTGTCTCATCTTTTTGGACTATCTAAAGACAAACAATGAGTCTAAAAGTCGTCTTTTTATTTCAGAGTTTTTAGAATCTCACTGTAGATCAAATTGTGATCGAAATTTAGAGCTTGCCAGGACCAAACTGTTAAATCGGCGTTAAGCTGCAATGGGAAATGGAGTTTCTAACATATTTAGACAAAGAAAATTCAGAGACGACTGTACAAAATCTATACTCTATGTTTCCTTATATTTATCTTTCCTCTACCTGTAAACTTGATTATTTCTTTGTCATAATCAATTAATGAACAAAAAAAGATTATATTGAATCTATATTAATTTAACCTTGGAATTTAAAGAGTGTCAGGTCGTCTTTAAAATTTCATCTTTTGTGGGTAACCCTGTAATTAGTTGAACCGTTAAAGGGAGTGTTCACGAAAAATATAAGGGGGTATAGGCTTACGGCGAAAAATGATAGCTTTTGATCGCTACTAATCTTACTTCTATCTGTTGCGTCTATAAGGAGAAAATAATAGTCATCGATTATTTTTCGACGCATTCGTGTATAGTCAATATTTCTTAATATTTTTGATTTGTTTTTTAAAATAATATTTCGCTGGCGCTGGATTTTCGAACATTACTGAAAAATAGGAAACTGTCGTCTTCATTATCAAAAATCCTCAAAACAGGAATAAATGTTTTCAAAAGTAACTCTCAGATCATAAAAAAATAAAAAATATTATGAAATATTAACTTTATACGAATGCCTTGAAAGAGTTTTATGTTTCGAGTTTGGAATTATTACATTATAAATTATATACATTATAAAACACAGTAAATGAGGACAAAAACTATAAAAATATAGTCTACATATACCAAAATTTGTTACCTGTGTTCCTTGTTTATCCATTTCATTACATATTGTTATAATGTTTATTTATGTATACATTGAATATAATAACACATGTATATGTATGTACAGTAAGACCCATAAAACTGTGAAATAGGAAGACAACAATTCAATCTTATGGGTTTATGTTGTTATGAGGAAAATTCTTAACTGAAAATTCAGCAAATAACTGAAATAGGTTTGTGTATTGTGTACACTGTCCAATTGCTGTGTTAATTTGGAATATCTAAAACTATTTATAACTTGAGCCTACTAGTTATCCTTCATATTTTAATTCCACAGTTTTATGAGTCCAATGGAATACATAAAAAAGACTAAATATATGTATTTGTTTCTAAGAATAAAAAATGAGTTACCTTAAGACGACATTTCTACTTTGCTTAAATTTAACTAGAAGAGAAATTTTGTTACGAGACTGAGAAATGATCAAAATCTGGAATCAGGGCTGGGCAAGTACAGGAACTTATTATATGGGGGTTGGGGTTGATTGGGGCTAAACTACTCGATCCCTGGAGAAGTGATTATGATTCCCATGGGTGGGGGATTCAGACGCTGGAACCTCAAAAAAGTTTAGGTTTCCCTGAAAAAAATCCCATATAAGGGATTACTATAATTAGAGTAAAGTGCGCTTTATAATAATTTGATTAATGTGTGAATTATGATAAAAGATCCATGTTACTTAATCATTTACACAGATCCAAATTGGACTACAAACGAGTTATTATGTATGTTAGCAATGTTGCGATAAAAAATGTTGTTTGATTTCTCTTTGAAAGGAACTGAGTCTTAGCCACAGACTTTTGATTTGCTGATGCCTATATCTTTGTAACACAATGTCGTAAACCTCAGATACTTCGAACTATTAAAAATGTTAGATCAAATGTCAACGGTTTACATTATTAGGTTGCATAGATATAGATTGATATAGAGATGAGAAAATTTAAGTTTGTGACAAAAACTCAATTTCTTTCCCGAGTTTCTAGTTTAAAAGCAAAGATTTTTATTTCACTAGCTAATGACTCAAGGCTCAGAAAAACATTTAATAATCCTTTTATCTTCAGTAAATCAAAGCCCATATCTGATAATCTGGATTAGTTAAAAAAAATTGGGTTAATACATTTATGTTGCTTCTATTGACAAACAAAATGAAGTATGGAAATCGAATTTTATGTTTATTTTTATGCTATTTGTCTCCAAGGACCCTATTTAAGGGTATTATAGGAGAATTCAGATTATGCTATAATAACAATCACACTTTTTTCGTAAGGTAACTTAGGCTCCTCTGGGATATCATCGTTTTCAGATTGCTGAATATAATCTATTAAAACCTACTATTTTTATTCAAAATTTGGTATATACCGTTTTCTGAGTTTGACCCAGTTTCATATCAATTTCTCGAGACAGGAACATCAGATAGAACTCTCACGGGTCTCAATCAACTCCTGAGATTCTCAGGTTTCATGCCTATACCCCCTTTTATTTTTCCTTTACAGTTCTTTAAAGGTTTAAAGAAACCTGAGCCCGCGATTTAAAAACTTCGGCTCGAGCCGTAATTCCTTAAACCCGACTTTAAGATTTAATCTTTGACCCAACTCATGAGGACAGCTTGAGTCACGTGATTGACAGCTGCAAGATCTTCGACTCGACTTAAGGAGTTAGGCCCAATGAAAATAAAACCGACCTCATTTGGTTTTAGTGGAGAATAAGACTCAATGTTGAATCTTGTTCTCATAAAAACCTGGAATGCGCCAATTCCAACAATGAAAATTCGCCAAATAGAATATCAAACCGGTTTTTTGAACTCAACTCGGTGGAAAATAAGAGCTTGATTCCGAAAGCTCAAGTCGTAAATAAGGTCCAACGACAGCTTAGACCTGAGCCGTATTTATCCGATTTTAAAAAATTCAATCCATGCCATGAAAATTGAAATAATACTGCTTATTTTATTTCTTGTTTAGTTCTTATTTTGAAATAATTTTTTTTTGCATTTGATACTTTGATAGAAACCTATTTTTAGGGATAAAATGAAAATTCCCTGGGGAAAATCGGATACAGTTTAAATTTTTGCGTTATTATCTTAGTTTTAACTTTTTAGCTTGATTTGGACTGTCATATCTTTCTATCCTTGTATTTTATTAACAAACTTATTTCAATAAATGTTCGCAAAATAAACTTGTCTTGAATTCTATCTTTAACATTTTTCAAGGTTTATAGTTATACTTTAATTGTTGATTAAAGATATTTTACCATGAGCACAGATTATTACAGTTACTTGCACATAATTAAGCACATGGCACTTTTTCATTAAAACTCTAATAAATCGCAAAATTTAGTTTATAAAAAAAGATATTTTCCAATATGTGTTCTTTATTACTTGCTGTCAATGAATTGTTTGAAAAAATTTATGCTGTTAACGGGGTTTATTTAAAATGAAAAATTAATAAGCTGATATTTATTATAAAAGTAGCACTTTACTCTATTTATTGAATATTCATCCATTCTTTAATTTTTGTTTGTGTTCTTTGAGTAACCACACAACGATTTAGTATTTTAGTTCGGAGAAAATTGTCTAACCTACCATTAGACCATTTGAATATTCTTTCATAAAAGAAAGGTTTTAACAAATTATGGTGTCTTCTTTGATTCATATCTACGAAAATATTGTTACTGGCAAA